ACTTCCATTTAAATTGTACTTTTTCTCTCTTTTTTTAAGAAACGACGTCATCTTATAGGGAATTTAACGTTTCTTGTTTGATGACCATAAAATAAGTTTTAACTGAGCGATCAAAATAGTTTATGTAAAAAATAAATTGATTTTTGTGTAAAATTGATAATACAATAAATATTTTAGGTTTGCCCAATTTCTTTTAGGCGAAATGTTTCTTTGATATGATTAATGCTAAAGAAGATCAGGAAACGACCATGATTGAAGTCCGTAGAAAACCATACCAAAAATAAAAGAAAAACTAAAACAACATACGGGACAGCTAGCGCCCTATATCGTAGTCAACATTAACAGCCATTCAAGACATTCTGTTCACGGATGAAAATCATGAATTTGAAGAATGCAAGACCAGGATGAAGATTACAAGATGAAGACGTTCTCTCCCAGAGTATAAGAATTGAAAAATCTAGAAGTTCTTGATAGTTATAAGGTAATTAAGATAAGATTTCTTCTTAATCCTTGTGATTAAACAGCAATTTTTTGGGCTATAAAGAGACGTTACAGTACCTGTACAAGTCTTTTTTGCCTCCATTTAGTCATAATTAGGCTGCTAGGTTAGTACTATTGTTGTTGTTATTTAAGATGAGACTCTTTGGTTAATTAATAAAATATATTATATAGATTGCGTCAAAATGTAAATTTAACTAGTGAAGGTATATTAAAGTTTCTGCATAAAATTGTCCAATTTCAGTGTTCGCTAGCTTGGTCAAGAATTAATTATAAATTAGTTGAAAAACAGAACTTAAACGAAGAATAACTCATCTATAAATACCCATGCTTTGCATGCAAGTTCTCACACCTCACCCAGCAAACAATACCAAAAAAGAAGAAATTCAAGGAAGAAAACGCAAAAAAAAAAAAAAAAAGCATGATGAAAGTTGCTAATTTGCTAGTAGCTTTTGCTCTCTTGGCTCTGGCTTCCTCATTTGTCACTGCCTATGACCCCAGCCCCCTCCAAGACTTTTGTGTAGGAATAAATGATGCTGATGCTGCTGGTACATCCTCATTTTTCTCTTTAATTTCATTTGTCTTTTTTCAATCTTTGATCGAAATTTCATGAGCCCGACTCAGCATGAGTCTATAAATACAGCATCGCTTGAGTCCTAGGATCACAATAGTGGAGCACATAAAATATGTGTTATGAGGCTCATGTTGATCTAAGACCATGCGGTTTTTTTTTAATCAAAATTATGATATTTTTTGAGCTACCAACTGATATGTATCATTCATTTTGAATTTCTATGACAATTGATAACACTTCGCTTGTGTATGCAGTGCTTGTTAATGGAAAATTCTGCAAGAATCCAAGCTTTGCCACCATTGATGATTTCACGTATTCGGGACTTAATGTTCCTGGAAACACCTCAAATCAACTTAGAGCACATGTTAATATTATTACGGCTGATCTAATGCCAGGGCTTAACACTCTTGGCATATCTTTGGCACGTATAGATTTTGAACCAAATGGTGGTCTAAATCCTCCACACTATCACCCTAGAGGATCAGAGGTTCTTTTGGTTTTAGAAGGCACTCTTTATGCTGGTTTTGTCACATCAAACCCTGATCATCGCCTCTTCAGCAAGATTCTGAAACCAGGAGACCTCATTGTGTTTCCATTTGGCCTCATTCACTTTCAATTAAATATTGGAAAAACTCCTGCTGTTGCTATTGCTGCGTTGACAAGCCAAAATCCAGGAGTCAACACGGTAGCAAATGCAATCTTTGGAGCAAATTGGCCTATTAAGCCTGAAGTTCTCGTCACAGCATTCCACTTGGATAGAAAACTTGTGGAGGATCTTCAGACTCAAGAGTGGGTGAACCCTACTTAATAAAATTTCCTGTATTTTCCATAGTTGGCATGTAATAATAAGGAAGTGCTCTAAGGCCTAAGCCTTTCTCATGATAGCGCTATGTCATACCGTAGTTGTGGTGTAATAAGGAAGTGGTTTTACCTTCTCTATGTGTTGAATTGTTTATGGCATCATGTTATGTACGTGTAGTTAAGCTACAACAACGTAATAGGCAATAATATTACTTGTGAAATAAAGAAAAAGACAGCTAGCGCGTATGTCGTTGTCAACAATAATAGCCATTCATTCAAGGATGTTCAGCTCACGGATGAAAAGATTACAAGATGGAGACGTTCTCTCCCATAGTACGTATAAAGAAAAAGACAGATGTGGGAGGTTTTATTGGTTTTTGAGGCCACTCTTTATGCTGGTTTTGTCACGTCAAACCCTGATCATCGCCTCTTTGCCAAGATTCTAAAAGCAGGAGACCTCATTCTGTTTCCATTTGGCCTCGTTCACTTTCAATTGACTGTCGGAAAAACTCCTTCAGTTGCTATTGCTGCATTATCAAGCCAAAATATTATCCAGGAGTAAACACGGTAGCTAATGCAATCTTTGGAGCAAATTGGCCTATTAATCCTAAAGTTCTCGTCACAGCATTCCACTTGGATAAAACATTTGAGCAGGATCTTCAGACTCAAAACTGGGTTAACCCTTCATAAATAGTAAATTTCTCATATTTCCCATTTATAGTTGATATGTAATAACGAAGAAGTGCCCCATGCCTCTCTCTCTCTCTCTCTCTAAGGCAATAAGCAATTTATTCATGATATGTAATTGTGGTGCAATAAGTAAGTGGCAATTGTATACCTTCTTTATGTGTTGAATTGTGTGCGTTTAATTCTACTAAGCTGATCAACAGATCGTTTTCTTGGTCATGCATGTATATAATGTTAGTGATGGGTTTAAGCTCTTCGGGTAAGTTAACGAGAGAAAAAAATATTATTTTAGAAAGGTTTACTAACAGTTGGACTTGATTGAAACTATTAAAATAATAATATTTTAGAGCGGTTAAATACTAAATTTATGTTGTAAAGTTAGAAATTATATAAAGTAAAAAATCAATGAAAAAGGAATATCCGGATCTTTGGTCCCAATATATAATGACGTGAAAAAAAAAAAAAAAAAAAGATAGACTTGACTGGTATTGATCAAATTGGGCCTTTTCTTACAAAGTATGGGTCTTGCTTTAAATTTCTGTATGAATAGCATGTGGGCTCAAATGCATGCCTTACTAAAACTGAGCTCATTAATTTTGTAATTCTTTTTATCTTCAAGAAAATTTGAAGGAAGGCTTCGACAAGTATTACGATTACTATTGGTTAAATGGGCCACACCACTCCTCAATTTTAATCTATTTAAAAATTACTTTTTAAAATTTTAATTTTGAGTTTAACTTTGTTTAACTTTTTTTTTTTAATTCACTCCATCTTTAAATTTTTTTGTGAAAAACAACGAGTACGTAAATAGCTAAATGATAAAAATCATTCGAGTAAAATTTATCTAGGGTCTACAAAAATTTAGAATCATTCTAAATTATTCTCTCTCTCTCTCTCTCTCTCTCTCTCTCTCTCTCTCTCTATATATATATATATATATATATATATATATATATAGTTTTGTTAGAAATTAATTATGTATCCGCATACATAACACTAATTATTTTTAATTTATTTTTTTTATATTCTAAAATAAATATTTTTAATAAAATAATTAAAATATATATCATTAATTTCATTATAAATTAATTATGTATTTGCACACATAACCCAAGTTATTTGTTATTTATTTTTTTACGTTCTAAAAATCAATTTATATTAATTATGAAAAATAAGATTTTTACTCGGACTATACTATACAAAACGTTGATCTTACATGCATAATTGTCCGATCTAGCGGCGTAACATGGGTATCCAACTTGTCAAAACTAGAAAATATGGTCAAGAGATTGTAATGCATAAACTTATGCTCAATCGAAGGCATGACTTCCATTTTATTTATTCAACCATGCACGAGCTATTCTAAGCTAGCGGCTCTAACTCGCTGCAGACAATGAACCAAATTGTATATCCCCCGTCAATTTCTCTTAGGTGCTCGTTTGGTAATCGGGAATAAAGTGATGGGAATAAGAATGCGGGAATCGGAATGAAAATTAAGGAATCGGAATGTTATTTGTATTCCAATACTATGTTTGGAATACTAATAAGGAATCGGAATGCAATTTAAATTTTTTAATATCCGATTTTGTATATAAAAATAAATAATGATTAAAAATAATTTTATTAAACTATAATAGTTATAAAAATAATAAAGGTGATGGTAGTGATTGTGGTGGTTCTAGTAGTGGTGATGGCGATGGCGGTAATGATTGCGGTAGTGATGGTGGTTGTGATTTTGATAATGATGATTGTGGTGGTGGTGGTGGTGGTTGCGATGATGTTAGTAGTGGTAGTGGTAGTGGTGGTTGCGGTGGTTGCGGTGGTGGTGGTGGTGGTGGTAATGACGGTGATGGTGGTGGTAATGGCAGGTGTTGGTGGTTGTGGTGATGAAGATAGTGGTGGTGGTGGTTGTGGTTGTTGTACTGGTGGTGGTGGTAGTAGTTGTGGTAGTGGTGATGGTGACAAAAGTAGTTAATAGATAATAAATAAATAAAATATATTATTATTTTGAAAAAAAATTCATTCCCATTCCTTGTTTTTTATTCCCACATTTTATGTGGGAATGAAGTTGTGTGTAAATTTTCATTCCCATTCCCACTTCATTCTTTTTAACCAAACAGCTACAATGTGGGAATAAAACTTTCATTCTCATTCCCACCACTCATTATCGATTACCAAACAGCACCTTAGTTGTTCAAGCCCTAATAAAGCCAGTATTTCTCAATATATATATTACATTGAATATGTATGTTTACTTACATGACATAGCTTTTAACGAATTTACAACTTATAGAGCAGCTTGGATACTTCCTGAACTTCTGAAATCAGCCGAAGCACTCTTTACTTGGAGAGCCAACTTGGAAATGATTTCAAGGGAAGTACAGAGATGTTGGATTCTGGCTAATCTGGCGCTTCGGATGGTAATATTTCATGATATGAATCATCCATAGGCAGCCGAGGCCGAGTCGTCCATTCTCCACAGGAATTTTTCTTCTTTGGGCTTAATACCGTCGAGGAGTTTGTCTCTCTCCCTCTGCATATTTAGCCAGTGCTCTGGCTCCTGAAATAACCTCAGTATCTGCTCAAATAGAACAACATTACAATCCCTGTTAGTAACTTTTGGCCTCCTATATATTGTAGAATTGAAATGTGATGACATTTTCACGGAAGGCTTGGGCAAATATCTTTATATAGAGAGAGATAAGAAAGTTTAACCATTTTCATCGTTGGCCTCCTAGAAGATGAGTGTATGAGGCAAAGGCGTGCTAAAGAAATCATGATTTCCATCTCTTCTTTCTTGTAGTCTCCATTCAGGTGGGGATCAATGAGACGTTCGCATAGACCAGCGCTTAGTAAAGACCTTGCCTGCAAGTCAAGGAGACAAATGCCTAAAAAGTTAGAGGTGAAACTTACCCTTTTCTATTTCATTCAAATCCAAAGGACTTTTTCTCTTACCCATAGAACTAAGCTTTCACGATTCGCCTGGTTTGTTCGAGTAGCCTCCTTCCCGGTGATAAGTTCCAGGAGTACAACCCCATATGAGTAAACATCAACCTTCTCATCAACTTTCCCATACATCATGTACTCTGGAGCCAAGTATCCAAAAGTCCCAACAACTTTGATTGGCTTTATGATTCTTGAAACTTGTTCTGATGGTTGGTTTACCATCGCTGCTCCAAAATCTGAGAGCTAAGTACAAAAGAACATATTTTGTCAGTACCGAAACAAGTACATGGGACTAGATTCACAGTAGAAGTTCTTATGAGGCAAATTCAATCTAGATTGCGATAGTAATTACCTGAGGCTTGCAATTGTCAGAGAGGAGAATGTTAGATGACTTCACATCTAGATGAATTATTGGTGGGTTGAAAGAATGATGAAGGTACTCGAGTGCCTTTGCCACACCAATAGCAACTCCCATCCTCTCATTCCACTTGAGTTGTCTCAAATTTTGCTTTAAACTACCTATTAGCAAGTTATATACAATTGCATCCATCTCCTTACTTCGGCAGTACCCAATTATCTGAATTACATTCTCGTGTTTTATGTCAGATAGAATCCGCACTTCGTGGAGAAGATCCTCAGCTGGAAAATGCGCCTTTTTTAGGATTTTCACAGCTACAACCTGACCATCCACTAGGTTGGCTCGATACACTTTACTGTGCCCACCTTCTCCAATCTCCATTTCAGGGCTGAAATTATTAGTAGCTAAATTGAGCTCTTGAAATGTGAAATGTTTGACAAATCCCTTAGCTTCCAGGATCAGCAATCCATGAGACACCTTATCTGCCCAAAAGTCCGGAACCTGGACTCTCTTCCTGATATTGTACCTACCTGTAATATCTGTTTGCTGTATTGATGATGCTGTTGAGGGAGATGATACAGTCAATGATTTTTGTAACTGAGAGGCAGTTCTCTGCTGATGAAAGTAGCTTTTTTCTGATGAAGACGATAGAGGATGTCGAAGGGGTGAATAAGTAGAGCCTTGTTGACAGGTTCCTTGCCTCTGGAGTACGATTTTTCCAGACTTATCCATCACCAGAAAGCTGCAAGTTGGAGGCAGACCTTTTAAGAAATCATTGACTACTGATTGTTGGAGCCTGCAACACGGAAAAAAAAACATGGGAGTTTGACATAGATAAAGAGAGACACAAAAAAATATATGGATGTCAGCTTGAATACCCTGAAAGGCTGCATCCAATTGCAAGGATTGTTGCATAGTTGACGCGTACTTGATGGCCTAGTTCTGAAATGTAACAGTCTCCGGTGCAAATTTTTACTAGGAAATCCACCTTCAAAGAATAACCAATAAGAATAGAAACAAATAATCCTAAGAAATTCTTGTAATGTCAAAACTGCATACCTGTTTGGCCTTGCAGATATCTTCATGGATATGGAAGGTATTCGGATCGAAAGTATCAGATGGTTCTTGAACATGTATAGCAAGCACATTATCCCCTGGATTGACAACTGTATGGAGAAACTGCAGCAGCATTTCTCGGCAATAGTTATCTGACTTCAGACCTACAACAACTGTCCTCTTCTTTTCTGCCTTAGATTTCAGAAGTGAAAAAACTTTCCACTCTTTGCTTGGATTCCCCACTATCGCAAACATTATGGCGTTTATTATCCAGCCCCCATATCATTCCAGAACTAAAAAGTGTTGTTGTTATTGTTAGTTGCAGGATTTTATTTCTTTCCACTGCCTTCCACATTGCCATCAATGCATTTATTGCCTGTGGTACATCTGCTTTCATAATTTGATTTGCTGTTTTTCTAACTGGTAAACTGCAACTGGCTGGTATATTTAAGTTTTCACTTGTGGTAGGTATGTACTTACCTGAAAAGCTATTGCTAGTTGAACAAAATAGTAAGCTCTACGAAGAGAGAGTGAAAGATTTGGAAAGGAATAAGGTGAACAGAAGTCATGTACTAGTAGTTCCAATGCCAGCTGAAGGCCACATAAATGCCATGCTGCAATTCTCTAGGCGTTTGGTCTCCAAAGGGCTCAAAGTCACCTTCATAATCACAAAATTCATTTCCAACTCCAGGCAACTTGGCTCGTCAATTGGCTCCATTCAACTTGATACTATCTCAGATGGCAATTGTCAAGTCTCCTATTTTTTAAGAAGATTTAGGAGACTGCTATGATGATGGAGGATTTAATCAAGCTAGTAGCATGGAAGCATATCTTTCAAGCGTACATGATGTTGGTCCGAAAACCCTTTAGACCTCATCAAGAAATACCAAACCTCTCCAAGCCCTATTCATGCTGTAATCTATGAGCCTTTCTTGGCATGGGCTCTGGATGTGGTAAAAGATTTTGGGTTATGTGCTGCAGCTTTTTTTTACACATGCTTGTGCTGGTGATTACATTTTCTACATTGTTTACTATAAAGTGTTAAAGCTGCCAGTTTCTTCAACTCCTGTGTTGATTGAGGGTTCGCTAATACTGCTTGAGCTTCAAGACTTGCCATCATTTGTTGCTCTGCGACTGCCAGATTCATATCCTGCTAATGTTAAGATGACCATGAGGCAGTATTCTAATTTGGAGGCGTCAGGAGAAAGTCAACATTTTAGCCGAAAAAAATTATGCGTGCTAATATGATTAAAAGAAATTTAGTTTATATATTTTTTTGTTTAACATTAAAAAAAACATGTTAATATGATTAAAAGATATAAAATTTATGTTTTTTTTTTGTACAATAGAGTACGATAAGCTTTTTTGAAATGGTAAAGATTTCCTACAGAAAAACTTTAACAAAACTATGGGCTGCCTGCCGACTTCCTATTTATTGACAATATAAGAGGATATTAGCTACACAAACAGAGATTCAGTCATTCAGCACACTTCAAGGCTGCCCTACCCAATGAAGCAGCAATAAATAATTCAGTGAACTAAGTAAATACAATAAATTTTGTTCATGTTCTTCATCTTTTCCAAGAACGAAAATCACATTTGTTGGCATTTCTGCATCCTACCGGAAAAGGAATGCTAGTTATGATTTAATCCACCTGTTTAACTTCAATATGCTCCTCTCAGTTACTTACACCCGAGCCAGAAAAACAAAAGAAAAAACGGAAACATTAATTCTGATTGATTCTAGTGCATAATGAATGACATGCTTGCTTTCATGGAAATAATGAGCAAGTTATTGCATAACCCAAGAAATGTCTTGCTTCCAGTTCCAGGCTAATGGTAGCAGACCAAGAACGTATCTGAAAGATATTACCATGCTTCAATGGATTTAATCCATGCCACCTAATTTTTATGTTCAAGTGGCAAAGCAATTGAGTTACACAGTTGGAACACGTCAATTTCCTTGCCTCCATGCTTGTCCACATCTCGATTTTCCTTGATTGAAAGAACATCATTGTCCTTGTGACCATTAAAATGATTGGTACCATGGTTGGTTGGCATAACCGGCAGGCCTTCTTTTTCAATATTTCTAGGAATTGCGTCCATAGAATGAAAGCTTGCGATTCCAAAAGAGTTAATTACATTTTTTATAAATCAAGTTGTCAATTTTTTCTATTAAAAAATGTGTTTTTTAGTTTCTGTTATCTAAATAGATTAAGTTATAATTTGTCTAATCAAATATTTTTATTAACTTTGTATCGATTTTTTTGGCTATCCGTACGTATAGACTATTTTAGTAAGACTCGTATTGAAACAGGACAATGACGTGAGTTGTGCAGTCTTTTTTTTATTTGTTATTTTCTTTTTCTTTTTGTAATTTTCCACATCATTAACACGTGTAAGATAAGTATCTGTCACTTGTCAATGTGGACTAATGAGACCCTGGTAATGACGTAGGTTTCCGATCTTTTTTTATTCCTTCTAATTTTCAACATCATTGACACGTGTTCTTGCAATTCCCACTAAATGAATCCATGTACAAAAAATAACAGAAATATTTTATTCAAAAAAATTGCAAAAATTAGAGTTCTAAAAAATATTAATAAAAATAAAAAGCACGCTACATTATGAAAAAAATGCTCAAAAATTTGCTCATTAAAATGGAGGGTCGGCCAAGCGAGCCAACCCTGTAAAGTCCCACAAATTATGTCAGCCATATGTCTTGATTGCCATACGGCACTCGCCGAACTAGGACGAGTGTGGCATATTTAGCCAACCGACCCTTTTAAGGTTCAAAAACCGTACGTTCCACTTATTTATAAATGTGCTTGCATCCCTTTATTTCACACTCTCGATGTGGGATAAATAAATCAGCATCTTTCTCCACACGAAAATTATGATAAATGAATATACCGTCCCCAACATAATTTCAATCTTTACAACCTGACCTTGTAAACAATCTATTTATTTACATGGTTTGAGCATTGACCCATCATTTTTCAAGATTCCGTTCGATATATGGGGTGCAAAAATGGAATGAAAAGAAGTTTTTAAGAACATAAATATTGTCGGTATTTGATGTTTAAGTGTGTGAGAACGATAATTAGTCAATGGAAACTTCAAATGATTAATGGAACCTACAGTACGCTAATACCAGCTAAGCTAGAGCCTATAGGCCATCTAACCAAGACTCGTGAAGTCGGTAACTTGGTGGTGATGCAAAAAGGCACAAAAGAATCATGGCATTGATGTTACCCGTGAATACCAGGCATGCAACAAAACATAATCAGAAGAAGGGGGAAAAAATCCTCCAAACCAAGATTCCATTATAAACAATAAGGCCTTGCGACAAAGAAAGGATTGATCATAGCAAGTTAATCATTTGCGGCTAAAAAGAACCAAGGCTAATATGTTCTGTGTCATAGCAACATGATACCACTTGGGCTAAAACGAAAACAATCAGCGGTGGTAGTTTTGAGTGAACGTTCCAAATCTGTTGGGAAAACATTACATACAAGTCTCATATAAGTTTATACACCCGCACATCTTTGATAGGATGCCCTGCGAGCCTCTCCTTGACAGCAAGTCCCAAGAAAACATGGTCCATGAAATGCTGCAGCAGTCACTCACTAGTCTGCGTATCCAAAATGGTTACATATTAGATGACTTCAGAGATTGTAATCTAGGAAGCAATTTCATTATTGACATGCTACTAAATGACCAAGTTTTTCTTTTGATTTGAGGGATGGATGCCCTAACAAGCAACATATCTACCAATAGAGTCATGCATCAAAACTGAAAGAGGAAGAAATGACCTTTTAGATCTAGATCAGAAGTGAGCAAAAGAGATAAATTAAAGTAGGAGTAAATTCCCACATGAGATGAGATATCCAAGGACAAGCTAAAGCTAAAAGTTCAAAAGCACCACTTAGAAACATCTTAGAGGCCATAGTAAAAAGTTACAAAATATACCTGGTTAAGAGGATTGTCTGGAGATTTCTTCCATAGCTTCCATATCATGTCCTTGTATTGTGTATGGGTAAGGCCCGGTTTCTCCTCCTTGAGCTTGGGGAGCTCAGCTTCTTCAAAAGCCTATGGATGTATAAAACATAGATACGATTAGAAGAACAGGTAGAAGAGTCCATATCATTTCATCCCAATACTGCTAATAGCAACAAGAAGATCACTACCTCTATGAGCACAGAAATTCACTCGAGGATGATGTACTATGATGAAGCAATCGCCAGTTACTAATGGAACAAACCACTAGAAGTTGATTTGATTTAGGAAATGAGTAATTAAATACATCAGCAACCATCTAAGATTAGTGATAAGATACATGCATGCTCTGATATCGTAATACAGTTTTACATTTTAACCTCTTTATGCCATAATCACATGATGCCACAAACTACAAGTTCATTCCACTATTAATCTTTAAATTCATTAACATGTTCTTATACCCCGCATGAACTTCACAATCAAACTCTTCATAACAGCAACCATCCATATCTTCCCACATGAATTTCACATCGTCACTATTTCCCTTCCCAACGCAACACGCTTAATACATTACCCATCTGATTCACTTCTCTGATTTCTCATTCTCACTTCAAATATCGCATGCATTCGATTCCTACTCTCTACTCTAAAGGCCAAACTTGCATTATACAACTTAACACCCCTGCTAACTCTCCATCAACACACACTGCTCATATCCATCAACTCTATACCCACTAAACTCAATCAAAATTACGAATTTCAACAGCAAAATTGTACACATCAAATGACCCCCATAAACTAACATTTCCAATCAACAAACCCTGCACAAAATCACCAGTCCTAAATTCCCACGATCAAAATTTCAAAAACTTCATGTGCACCACATTCAATACAATAATAACACTACCATAACAAACACAGTTAAAAGCACCAAATGCAATAACAGATTCTCAATTTTCAATTAAAAAAAAATCCAATTAAACGACGCACCTTAAACGCGGCCTTAAGCCTCCTCTCAGGATGCCGATCAGCAGGCAAATTATCAGCAACAGACATCTGCGCAATGGCTTCCTCAACATTCCTGGCTTCAATAATCGAATCATCCCTGTTCGTATTCGAAACCAGCACCATCCTCTCATACTCCTCCTCCGCCGCAGTCCTATCCTTTCTCCTCTTCGTCTCATCCGCTTTCTTAGCCATCTCCGCTTGTTCCTCCTCCTTTTTCTTCCTCAACTCCGCCTCCGTCACCTTCACCGGAATCGAAACCCTATTCGCCTTCTTATCCGGCTTCTTCATAGCCTTCTCCAGCTCCTTCTCTTCCTGCTCAGCTAATCGGCGCGCCTCGGCTTTACGAGCGGCTGCTTCAGCTTTTTTCTCCAATTCCTCCTCTCGTTTCTTGGTGGCGCGTGACTTCGACCCCTCGGCTTCGCGCCAGTACTGGTCTTCTTTCTCGCGAGCCTCTCGATTTTTTTTCTCGGTTTCTGTTGCGTTTTTCCGAGCTCTAGCCTCTTCGGCTTTGCTGTTCACTCCCATCTTCTTCGGCATCTTTGATTGAATTAAATTTAGGGCTTTTTTTTTTTTTTTTTTTTTTTTTTACGTTTGGATTGAAAAGAAAGGAAATTGGGAATTCTGATGGTGAAGATGTGTTTTTGTGGCAGTTTACGGAATTTGTAAAGTGGCGGTTATGGTAATTTTGGCGATGACAGTGGCGGTGTTGGTACGTTTGTAGATGTGGCTGTGGGATCAAGGTCATATGGGTCTGGACATGGAAGAGATATGGGCCTTCAGTGAAATTTGGGTTTCAGTTCCTGCGAGGATTTTATACGACAATACAAATTATTGTATGAGCCCGGCCCAACTGTATGTTCACCGCCATCTGTCAAACATTGAGACTATGAGGAGGTTTTTTTTTTTTTTTCCTCTCTAACAATGAAGGAAACTCATTTCATTGAAAAAAAAAAAAAAAAAAAAAAAAAAAAAACCTTCTCGAGAGATTATAAAATACTTAAAACAAAAATAGCCATCAATATTTACTTTATAAATTCATTTTAAGAAGAAATAAAAATACAAAAAAATAAAATCACATTTTAATCCATCAAAAATAATAAAAATATTTAATGTTATACTTAATTTCTTTTTTTCTCTTCTATTAACCTCTTTTCTTTGTATTTATCTATCTCACATCCTATAAATATCGATAATTACTAAATGAGTGCCATAAAATTTCTTCTGACGGACCATCTGCAGGAAGCAACTTCAAAAACCTCTTGAAGGAGAGGCCAACCAATCAAGAGGACAATTTCCTTTTCTAGAAGATTCGGCACCCAATCTGCCGCTAAATTAGCATTTGGGACACGCACATCTGATATTTTTGTATTGGAATTATAGTGGGCCAAATCACTGAGGCATGTACTCTGATTACTATGATTTCTCTTACTACATAAATAACAGCGAAATTGGCAGTGTTAAGTGAATTTCTTGACCCATTTAGAGGGAGCCAAATTAGCCAACAGAAAGAAAACACGATGATAAAATCATGCATTAAATCTGGGATTCATACAGATAATTATACCTACCTAACCTAGACATAAAACCATGCATCATGCTATATCGTATCAGTGTTGGTCCTGTTTCAAATTTCAACTACTAATTGTAACCACTAAATTTAAGTCCATTTGATTAAGCAAGAAAGAGAGAGAGATAGGAATAAACAATAAAAAAAACAATGATGAATTAAGTAGATTTAGTTTCAATCAATTGAAAAAAAAAACTAATCTCAAAATACTCTATTGTCCATAAATATATATAAAAAATATATATATATTAAAGTAGGTTCATTGGTTGGGTAAGTAATAGGGATCATATACACAGTGTAAAACGACAGGCAGGCGTGAAAAATAAAGAACGAAGGAACTAGAAATCACCTCTCATCACATAGAAATAGAAAACATTATGTACAGTAAATCCAAGTCATATAATAAATGGCTTTACCCTACATTTAGTTTCTGCTTGGTTGGAATTTTTTTATTAAAATCTTTTATAATTTTACAGTTAGATTGAAATCATCTATTTTTAATAATTTATTGATTCAAATCCTCTATTGTAACTTTGTCAACTCGTTCATCCGACTTGACATATTAAAATTAACAATAACCAATAACAAATAGACACATAATATAATGAATTCCAACTCTCACAATCTCTCGCAAGAAATTAAAAACTAAAAATATTTTTTTATCATTAAACCAATAGTTAGTATTTAAAGAAAATTAGGAAAATACATCATTGCTCCTACCCATAATCGGAAACTCAAATAAAAAAAAACCTTTCTTTCCCTTCTCCTTTCTCAATCAAAACCAAAGATGAATAAAAAAAAAAAAATCCTATTTTTTCATCTCTTTTACAACTAAAGGATGAAATTGATGGTACATGTGACCATTCATCCTTTTTTTTTTCATTTATGATCGCCGATTGCTACTGATTCACCCAAATCCAACTTGTATTTTTTTTTTTTTTACCTAAATTCCTTATAAATCTCTTATCATTTTGTGATTAATTGAGGATTTTGTGAATTAATAAATTTTAAAAAATAAAAAGTTTTAATTAAGATAAAAAATTGTAAAAGCTTTAATGAAAAAAATTCGAAATATACAAAGATCAAATATGGGATAAACCATATAACAAATGCATAAATTCCGTTCAAAGATTTATAAAAGTACGAATGAAGTCTCATCCAATAACAGAAACATTACATGTTTGCTTGGATGCAATAAAACAGGAGAGATTGATGATCAATGAAAAGGGACAAAGAACGGTGAAAATTGGGTTAATAACCGTAGTTGGTATATACCCAAGAAAGGAAAGGGATGATTCCTTTCTTCCTTTCGTTTTCAAACATTTCCATTCCCTTCCTTTATTGTTCTGTCCAATTTAACACAGACATGGAAGAATTATTGTACAAGCAACCTGATCCTTCCTAAAATAATCTAGTCAGATTAGTTTTTCAAAAGATATTTACAATTGAGACTCAATTGTTGGAGACAAAAAAAGATCACGGTAATTTATATCCTTCATCTTCTCCATAACTTCCTCCTATCAAATTCATCTGTTAATTGCTTGTATTTTCCCTCACTTCAATCGAAGAAAGATTTCAAATTGAAACCACACACCTTGTATTAGGAAGCCGACAACATAATCTTAAGTTTAGTATTTGCTAGAAGAACGATGAAGTCCAAAACTGCACCCACCTCAAAATGTTGGGTTTGATTTGTTTGCAATTTGAAACTAATTTTTAAAATGCTTTTGTGCTAATAAGCATCAATTTAGATTTTGTCCCCATGTTTTTAAATGGTTTTGACATAATAATGTTTTAAAACATAAAAATTATTTTTTAAAAAAATCAATTTATTTTTTTAATGTAAATTCATTTTTATTAAAATATATGCATTGTATCACCAAATACTGTTGTTGCTAACAAGTTGTTGATCCATAATAAGTGAATTGGCCTTCAAGTAAATTTTCTGCTAATATACATAGTTTGAATTATAGATTCGTAGTTGTTTTAAGGAATTAAACATTGTTGCTCTCGTTTAAACATAATTAATCACATCTCTAATGTAAGATCTTGAAGTTATACTTGTTGAAAAAGAGTTAAATCTTATCGCTTTCATTTCGAATGTGATTAATTATATTTTTAATATGAGACGAAAATATATTTGAAAAAAAAAATCTCAATTATTGATTCAACCCTACAGTTTCACGTAAAAAAACTCAGTCAACGTAGTTAATACATATAAAAAGTGAGAAAATATAATTATCAGATTTTTTCCTCATCTAATCCAGAATAAATTAAAAGAAACACTCGTGCCATGAAAAAAGGGGGAAAACCCACTATAATTGCCCAATTTTATGTCCCCAGCAAATACAATGGTCTTAGAATATGAAGCATCCATTGACCATATAAATGTCATCGTTAAGGTTCCCCATACACATGAATCAACAATAATCCTCCTTCCATTTATTTAAGAGAGTCTTTTTTTCCTTTTCTTTTTAATTTACGATTTTATCACTTTTAAAAAATTAAATTCATATCTATTTTTTAAATTCTATTTAATTTTAAACATAATATAGTAAATATTAAAAAAATTATATGAACTGAAAATATTAAATGTATATTTTTATACGTATGAAAAGATTAATAAGACTCTTTTTATAGAATAGAGAGAGCAATGCATTATTCTTTAATTATTGTTGGGATTGGAAATTTTTTAATTCCCATATACTCAAAAGGTATCATTGATTCCAAACTTCAAAGTCAATAACTCACGAATCATCTAACTGACAATTACATGTGGCAACCACTCCATATTCCTGGATCATTAGGGTCCGTAGATTGAACCAACGGTCATGATTTCCTTAATTAATTACCTTACACGATATTACCATGATCAGCACGCACAGCCAATACTCTTCTCTTCATTCAGATAAAAAAATCAAAAAAACAGACAAACAAACAAACGGTCCCTTCACGCCTTCTGCTTTCATGGGCCCATCTGCAATTCCTTCATAAGTGAACCTGACAAGCCGACCTATAGTTTCTACTTTCAGTTTGTCACGTGCATGTACCCTATACTATTATGCTGGTCCTCACCACATATAAAAAGCCTACATAAACTTTGCATCCTATATTTACACCAGGGGCCTATACAACTCTTGTACTGTTTCAACGGCAGAGATTCAATTCGACCCCACGTTCTAGCTTATGCCTACTTTATTGTCCCAAGGGCCCAGATTTATTTTCAATAATAACAGTTGAAATAACAAGAGCCACCATTAGAGCATCTCCAACGACGTTATATCCTTTAGCTAGTATTTTTAATATAAATAAAAAAATATAATTAATTATATATATTTAAGATTATATCCAATATTATTCTTTATTTTAATTTTTTATTTTATTAAAATTTATAAAATATTTAATTCTGAATTTTTTTCTATTAATCTTCTTTCATCTCGTTTTTCAATCTCCTTCCATCTTAGAAAGACTATTGATGAAAATATTGAGTGACAATAAAAATAGTAATTTCATTAATGAAATATAAGATAAAAGGTCATTTGGATTCTGCAGTATTGAAAAGATAAAGACATTCAGTATCTCATTTTTAAAGATAGAGATTATGATAAAAAAGCATTGGAAATAAAATTTAAGTCAAACCTCTTTATTGTATAAAAAAAAAACCTTAATATAAAAAGAACATTGGAGATGCTTTTAGTAAAAAAAAAGAAAAAAAGAAAAAGGTGTATAATAACACTTCAAGATTGACTAGAATGTTAAATGAGGTAATTCCATCTTCTCATTTTAAATCTAATATTAAATGGGTCTAACATTCTATGAATTTTAGTTTATTTAAAAATTAATTTTAAAACTTGAAATTCTGAATTTAACTTTTTTCAAGATTTAGTTTGTACTTTAATTTTCTATTAAAAACAATGATTACATAAAATTACATAAATAACCTTATGATGAAAAATATTAAGTAAGCTTTATGTATGACTCTCTAATAAATAAGAAATCATTAAAGGTTATTTTCTTTTTTTCCTTCAATATTTTATATTTTTCAAGTTCAAAAAAATAACAAAAATATTTTATGCTATAGAAATAAAATTTAATTTTTTCAATATGTGTATAAAATACCAATTTAAAATATCAAAAATTGAATGTTTTAAAGACAATCATAACTACAAATTATAGAATTGATTAAATTTTTTAACAAATAAAAAGTTATTGAGATGTCAAACCCAAAGTTCACAAAAAGTTTGACTCACTTAACATAAATTCAATCTTCATATTGTTATTTTTACTTAAAATTCAGATTAAGAGAAAATTACAAAAAAGAATTTCTTGTAAAAAAAATAATCTATAAATTAACGATTTTTTTTTTCAAAAATGCATTAATTTTTATATAAATGGTTCGTTCAATTTTATTGACTCGAAAATTTTTAGTCTAAATACATAAAAAGCTAGTCAACTGAAAGTTCAACATTAATTCGATCCCATATCTTATCTCAAGGGTTAGAATTTTTATTTGAAGAATGAAAGAAAGGACGTGAGTTTTGATTAAAAAACAAAAAAAAGTATATAGTTATTAAATGTCATTAAATCACAACCACCTGATTGGTGATCTGAATGACGTAGAATAAATCTGCTTCGAAAAGATGAGGATGTGAACACGTGGTAAATGAGCTGTTTTGGTCCGCTTTTAATCAGACGCCACACCTCATCCTCAAACGTAAAAAAGGAAATGCGTAACATGGGATTGATTTTGTGGATTATAACACGTAATCCAATCCAACAGCGAATACTTCTCCTCCACACAATGTCAGGCTTTTAGCCGCTTATAGATTCTCTCAGATACTCTCACTCTCATGGTGAGATCATGACCGTTAATTTAATAGATTCCATATGTTCAAAATCGGTCAATATTTTGTGAGATCATCAAGTCATTTTGCGCAGAGTTCTAGGAAATCTCAATTAAACCAGTATTAAAATTTCAAGAAAACTACGTCCAAACCCTTCAACTATCACATACATACCGTCTAGATCCATTATTCGCCAAAAGTATTCAATTACACATCTGATTTATCATAATCTAGACGGTATCATATTTCTATCAAAAGGATTTTTTTATAACTCACACACCGAAGATACACAAACAACACTCTTAACAAACCAATTTGTTGGGATTTGAAATATCTTATAAGAGATCAATTTTGTTGGGATTTGAAATATCTTATAAGAGATCAATATTATTGAACTACAAGTTCTTTTGTTATCAAAACAACATTAGCTCTTATTGTCAAATATAAATATGTTAGGTTCATCCATAGTATTTTTATCCAAAAAAAATTAAAAATTTATTCTACTTCATATATATTTTATTACCTGTAGTTAGTGAAAATATAAAAAGAAAAAAGAATCATTCAAATCCCAAAATTAATATAATCTCTAACTAAAAAAAAAATCAATTATAAATATTTGTTGTTAAATGTCATATAGGGTCGTGTGTGTTCTAGCAGAAGAACATTTTTTATTTTTTTTGGTTCAAAAAGATAAGAAAAAATCACCATAAACATAGGCGAAATGTTGGATTTGAAGACTCAAATTGTATCCATCGATCAGGATTTGACACTCAAAAGTTCTACTAGTTAAGGGTCCTAATCAAAATATATTTAATAATTGGAGGGTGAAGCTCTAATTTGCCCTTTTTGAAATTAATTAAGCAATTCTTTAGAACTTTTGAAGCATTAATTACATTTCTCCTGTGCACTGAAAAAGATGGAAATTAAAATTATAAGCTCATAGGTATCCTAATCCAACGCTTTGGAATCCGAGTCCATGGCTTGTTAACTGAGGACGCTTGCTTGGGATTCTTATCCCGCCAAAAAACAAACCGCCGTTACGTTTCATTTGCACGCTATCAGCCCTTCCCTCCATTACCAACCAAATGATTACCTGGGGTTCTACATTTCTCCGTTAGCTCCTACATCCACATCGTCATTTCCTCTGTCACATCACTGGAAACGCCAAACGTGGCAATTAGTAATCTAATCGACCCATTAGGTAAAACATAGAGGAAGACACCACCCATTGGGGTTTTCCTTTTTTTTTTTTTTTTTTTTTTTTTTAATACATCTTGTAGCAACTCATAAGGATAAATAAATGGGAAATGAGAAATTATTAAATATATCAAGAAGTTGTTAGAAATTATATTCTTTTTTTCAGTCAAAACATGAGATTTATTATAAAAATAATTTATAAATCCTATATTTAAAATAAAATAAAAAAATGTTTATAATATATTGAATAATTGTTGAATGAAAATTATTAAAAAAAGGCAGTAGCTTCAAAGGTAAAACTAAAAGAGATTGTAATTTTTTTTTTTTGTAAATACAATGTTCATGTAAATAGTTTTATTAAAACTTAATTATATAGAGATTGATTTAAATATGTAAAATTAATGTAAAATATCTTAATTGTCAATTAAAATTTTATTCACAATGTAAGTTCTAAAAATTTACCAAATATTGCTCAAATCATTTATTTTATAATCAAAATTTCACATATATTAAAAAATTATAAAAATACCAGTATTAATATTTCGTACAACGTTCAATGTATTAAAATTATGGACAATGTTAGGGTTTATGAATATTTTTTATTAAGTGATGTGATACTTGTTATTTAAAAATATTTTCGAATAATGGAATGCGAATTTTATCTCATATTGTAATAATTATAACATATATAAACTAATAAATTATTATTTATACACTGCCACGTCATTTAATAAAATTATTTTATGAAAAAATTAATAATACCTTACATAATCCTAAAATTAATCTTCTCTAGTTTATGTTCCGATCATCGATCCTGCAAAAGAAAGGGTACTTTCATAATAATAACATAAATTAAATAAAAAAAATTACCATTGGATTTGAAAAATAATTAAAAAGCAAACATGTTGGTCCCACAAAAAAGAAGGCCGTGTCGGGTGCTAAACCCTCCTGTTACGGAAAAGACGAAAAAACAAAACTGTAGCAAACGTCCGTCTGCATCTCCGTCTCCTTCCCTCCAACACCCCCCCCTCTGTCTGTCTCTCTCTCTCTCTCGCTTTATCACCTCATCATCAGCACACTGCTCTTCCCTATTCATTAATCACTAACCGAATTGAAAAAAAAAGGACTCAGAAAAAGCACCAAACCCGGACACATTTTTCTAGAGAGAGAAACACACTTACATTACTCACATTTTCAGTTAATCAGCTATATTGATCGTACAATGAGAAGCAGTTAAGATCTTGTTTTATGACCGTCTGATCTTGTTTATTTATATCTAGATGGGGAGTGTGTCTTCTGATGATGACGATGGTTGTGGTAGTGAGGTGTGTGGGAGCTATAGTTTGAGTGCTGATGTCAGCGAGTCCGAGAGTTGTACCAGTACGAGTAGTTTTTCGTGTAGGCGAGGGTTTGGTCGTGATGGTGGTGGTTCTGGTGCTGGTGCTGGTTCGAGTTCGATGACCTCATCTCCTCGTCCGGTGGGTGGAGGTTTCTGTTTTCCGGCACCGGTTATGGTTCCGGTTATTGGTGGTAAAGATGTGGCGGTTTGGGACTCGAAGAATGAGAAACGAGGAGATATTGATTTATCTGGTAATTATTCTGTTTTGTTTTTCTCATTTTAGTGGATTACTATTCTCAATGCCATTTTTTTTTTTTTGCCATTTTTTTCAAGAAGCAAAGAAATGGATTTTGAGATTTTTTTTTTCCGGAAAAGACTGATTTATCTTTTTTTATTATTGTTTTTTTTTTAATCTCTTCCTTTTTTTGTTTTTTTTTCCGCCTTTTTCTGTCAAGGAAGACAAAGAAATGGATTTTGAGATTTTGATTTGTTTTATTTTGGTTCCTTAACAAAAATAGAGATATTGTGCTGTTGAGTGGAGGCCTAATTGTGTGCTACTTGAGGATTTGCTAGTTCATATAGATTTAGTTCTATATATATTTTTTTTTACTTTTTATTTTTTTGATGTCCATATTTTTGTAGAAGCTGAAATGATGAAAGAAAGATTTGCTAAGCTTCTACTAGGAGAGGACATGTCTGGTGGTGGTAAAGGAGTCTGCACTGCACTTGCCATCTCAAATGCCATCACAAATCTATCTGGTCTGTATAAAATATTTCTTTGTATGTATGTTGTGGTTGTGCGATGCCCATACGGATTTAAGCTTAATTCTGGGTTGTAATTGCAGCAACTGTTTTTGGCGAGTTGTGGAGGTTAGAGCCATTGGCGCCACAAAAGAAGTCGATGTGGAAAAGGGAAATGGAATGGCTGTTATGTGTGAGTGATTCGATTGTTGAGCTTGTACCATCGATACAGCAATTTCCTGGTGGGGGAACTTATGAGGTTATGGCAACTAGACCACGGTCGGATTTATATGTGAATCTGCCGGCGCTCAAGAAGCTGGATGCTATGTTGATTAGTATGCTTGATGGGTTTTGTGAAACGGAGTTTTGGTATGTTGATCGGGGGATAGTTTTGGCTGATGGTGGTGAATGTGATGCATATCCATCTGGTATTTCTGGTGGGAGGCCTTCGATTAGGCAGGAAGAGAAATGGTGGTTGCCGTGTCCTAAACTGCCACCAAATGGGTTGTCGGATGATGCAAGGAAGAGGCTGCAGCAGTGCAGAGATTGCACCAATCAGATATTGAAAGCAGCAATGGCCATTAATAGTAGCGTGCTAGATGAGATGGAAATACCTACTGCGTACATGGAGACCTTGCCCAAGGTAATGGCTTTTTCTTTTCTTGAAATAATATGTCTGCTGGACTAGTATAACTACATTCCCAGCAGCATGTGTGTGTTGTCTTTGCTACTCTCTTTGTCTGCTTCAGTTTTTCTTGTCAAATTGATTAACTACATTTGGAGGAGGTTCTGTTCTCATATTTGCCTTCCAGTAACTGACATTTACTTTTATCTTAAATAACTATAAGAGTTCATCCAAATCATGTACCTTGAATTTTTTTGTTGGGCTTTGGATGCTTAACTCATAGTATGCTGTATTTTCTTCTGTGATGCTACCAGAATGGAAAAGCTTGCCTTGGTGATATCATCTACCGCTACATAACTGCTGAGCAGTTCTCGCCAGAATGCCTCCTTGATTGTCTTGACCTTTCAACAGAGCATCATACTCTGGAAATAGCAAACAGGATTGAGGCAGCAGTGCATGTCTGGAAGCATAAAGATCATAAAAAACATACTCATAACGTGAAAATCAAGCACACATCATGGGGTGGCAAGGTCAAGGGCCTTGTTGCAGATACGCATAAGAATCAGATATTGGCCCAACGAGCTGAAACTCTCCTACAGAGCTTAAGGCTTCGTTTCCCTGGTCTCCCGCAAACAGCTTTGGATATGAACAAGATTCAATATAACAAGGTAGTTGCTTCAATTCTTCAATGGAATATGGAATTCAACTTAATATTCCTAATCGGCGTCATCAAATAATGACATAATAATGTGTGTTGAATCCCACTTTAGATGAATCCAAAAGGGTGGCAATAACAAATAAATAGTTCAAGAGGCACCGATTCTGTAGTTGCATTCATTTTGATTTGTCACACACATGTAAGCAGGACATATTGGCAGTTTGAGTAGCTAATCTCTGCACATGTCATTTGGAAAATGTTCATGGTGTGTCACTTTCAAGAAATAAATATACAGAAGGGCATTTTTTTTAAGTCACGCATGCACATTTGTTAAGACCATCCAGGAATGTTTCTGCCAATGTTAGACATGCTATGCAGATTATGAAAGGTTCGTTTTCTTGCAGGATGTTGGGCAATCAATTCTTGAAAGCTACTCAAGAGTAATGGAGAGCTTGGCCTTCAACATTATGGCAAGGATTGACGATGTTCTTTATGTAGATGATGCTACCAAGCAATGTGCTGCAGCAGAATCGTTGTCTCTCTTCAACAGAGGAGGGTTAGGAGGTCTTCCCATCCAGAAGAGAATGTCGCCTAGCCCCTTCTCAATTCAACAAAGCCCTTTTGCCTCTCCATTTGCAACCCCAACGTATTGTGCTTCGACTCCAGTGTCTGGAAGCCCTGAAAGGGTGACTCCCTCTCTAAAGAGGGGAAAACCTAAGGAAACACCTGATCGAAAGTTTGAAAAACCACTATCATCCGACTTTGAGAGGGTTTGGTCATACACCGGCAACCTAAGTTCAAGAAGAGTTTCTGGGATTGCTCCTGAAAGAGATTGACTTCGAAACACTCACCACCCTGTGCGAGATTGACTGTTGTTCTATAAATGCTGTCAAAGAAATGCAGTAATGTGATCTGGAGCCTACCGTCAGTGGGGTTTGTAGAATTCATATCTCTAGCCTTGTATATTGTTTAGCAGTAGAAAGATAATGCTCTAAATTTTTGATCAAGCCTTTTCAATTAAGCTGGAATTGAGGAAGACTGTTTTTATCTATGTCAGAAGAAAATTATGCTCTTTCTTCTTGAATCAGTCAATTGGCACACTGGAAAAGACTATCTACGTTTTTACCTGAATCAGCTAAAGACTCAAACTGAAATGGCGAGCCACAACGCAATGATTATTTTCTGATTCTGGAAGTGCATTGAAATTGATTGGATGGATTTCGATATTTCGTTTTAGCTTGTTTCGCTATAAATGAACATTTTCCAATGGTTTTTACGCAAGATTTGTGCTGTTGGCTAATTTTACCATTTTAAGTTCAGAGTAATCATTACTGTCCAAATATGAGCTGCTCAGCTTCACTCAACATTTTCAAAGAGTGCATGGGTACCGCAAAGGGAAAAAGTTGTTTCTTAGGCTCTTACGGGCTACAGCCGATGTAATTCCTGCATTAAGCATCTAAAATTAGTGGGAAAGGAAATATCAAACATATTTTATGTTATAACGAGAAATTATTATGCATCACCTATCTAAAATCATAAACCAAACTTGTACAATTTTAGATTATCTAAACTCATAGACCGAACTTATAAAATTTTGGATTATCTAAACTCATAGACCAAACTTGTAAAATTTTGAATTATCCTATCTTTATTGTAAAATAGAGTGTTTAGTTATAAGTTCGAGAACAACACCCTGCACGCACTAGCATCAAAACCCAAATTAAACAGAAAAACCCATTAACACCTAATATCAAAATCTAAATTAAATCATTTCGATGCTATTTAGTCATAAATGTAAATGAAAAATAACCTCACCTCTGATGCTAGCTTTTCAAATTGAAAAAACTAAATAAGTCCACATCATTCTGATATGGATACATTATTAATTATTTCATTCAATAATTATGACTCATATTAAATGTAAAGATTCACATTATGTGATTTACTAAATAAATGACTTAGACAAATTTTATTACTTGCAATAGTTTATCGGTTTAATCCATGATCTGAGATGGACCAAGTCCGTTTAACAATTTCTATGATTTGGGCATGTACAAAATCCAACTCAACAGTCAACTTGCCTAACATTAGTTAAAAGAAAAAACCACGAAAGGTCGAGTCAACTGCACTTATTAGCAGGAATATATATATATATGTTCTGAAACGAGTCATTTCGATTTTCCTACTCAAAAGCAATAAATGGAAACTGCATGAGCGCTCCGCACCCTCCACAATCTGATTGCAATGAGTAATAACCCAAACTAATCAGGCGGCTCTTAGTTGGAGAGATTTCATCCAGCTTTTTTGGTGAAGAGATTTCATCCAATTGCTCGACCAAACAAGAGCCGTTGCCTAGCTCCCAACCAACATGTGATGGAAGGCTCAAATCTCTCGCACATTATAGTATTCACTGAGAAAGTGAAAGTTGTTCCCTAATATTAAGCTCCTCATCACATGAAAATTCAGCTCATAACTTCACTTTGGTACTGGTTTACCACCGCATTAGATCTAAACCCCCTAACATGTCATCAGTTAAATACAACAATCGGCAGGTATATGAGTACCAATCTCTGCAGCTATTTACCAGAGCAGCCATGAAATAGGAAAGCCAACTTCACTTTGTTATTGACAGCTCTTCCAATTGATTTTGATTCTGCACCTGTTGAAGTCACCAAATCCGTAATGGACATGCCATCATATGGATAAAAAAATGAGGGAATGTTTACAAGTGAAAAATAAATGTGATATCAGATACACAGGCAGAAATGCTAATGCATCATCATGATTGTACTAAAGGCTAAAGCAAAATGATAGCATGCAACTCACTAAATTGATGGCCACATTGCAAGACACATTTCAGTACAGTCCAGCAGGAAAGATTTGCCACTTAAAATCACAACCAACAACCAATTAGCTGATTAGATTTAGAAAACAGTGAGAAAGTTGTCTCGTTACTAGCTATCAAAGCAGCTGAAATTCTGTATTTTGGCAACAAAGGTTCAAGCATTCAAAAAGAAGCCAATAAACTGGAAGTATGCAAGGTTAGGAGAAAGGAAGGATTTCCATGAAAAATAGAACTTGGTAAAGAATTTCATATTAAAATTCAAAATTAGATCATAGTGTTGCCTTGAGATTACATAGTTTGGCAACTCTTTTTGGAAATGCTCAATTATGGAAAGTTGATTGGTGACCCATGCTATCTCACTTAAAAAGGGCACATAACTGGCAGTGACTTAAAAGGGCATATAACCGGCAGTCTTAGCATGGCACTGCTCGCATTTAAGGTTCAAAAGGAGAACCAGAAGGACCTGCCCTGTCTCCTGAGTCTCTGACACAACAGAGGGATGCAGGTTGATGATGATGCAAATGTATAGGAAGGCAGGTTGGGGTATATTTGCCATAATTCATCACAAATATATAAAGTGCTCTAGCCAGAATCAAGCCTTCTACAGATTGATGGTATCAGAATTGCATCCCTAAATGCCTCACCTAGAATGGGTTCCCCCAACCCAATGGATTGATACGTATGTTCAGCACAACTTTGGTAGTTTGCTCATCAAGATAGATTATGGCCTGTGTCATGCCAAGGGCCATTTGGATACATATACTTAACAACTATGAGCCACTCCCAATTAAGTGCCAACGTTCAATGCAACTGCACCTATCAACTATCAAGGCATGAAGCTGAAAACATATTCAAAGTGCAAAACGAACAATTTGAGAAATCTACAGAGGTTGATGCAGGATGAAAGTAGCACATGAAAATAAAATCGAAACTTCATGATAACAATTGTAAAGGGGGACAGAAATGAAGACTTACTTCCAATGAGGTTGAAGCAACCCAATTGGGAGGTGGCCAGAACATCTTGGAATAATCAGGAAAAGTCCGTAAAGGTCCTATGCAACCACTATCCAATTCAAACACACCTATATCACGACCAATCATTGATCCATCATCTCCTTCCTCCCTCGAATAAAAGAAATTATCCTCAAAAAATATACAATTGCCCTTACACCCAGAAAGCTCAGACGCTGATGCAGAAAACGTCGAATCATCACCTAAAAACAACACACGATCTTCCAAATTCTTCAACTCAATCCAACTTTTCCCTTCTTCATTCAACTTAAAGACCTTAAACCGAACCGTCCTCTCACTCATATACTGAACAAGATCCTGCACAAGATCATTACCAATACTCAACCCTTCATCAGTATCAATACTCAAATACATATCAACCAGCAACAAATCCCCCTCCGACTCAACCAAAAACTTCTTATCCCCGCCAAAAACTGGATTTCCAATCAAAACCAAGTTCGCATCCAACCCAACAGCCACAGTCCTCCCGGTATTATCAACGGCGTAAAACCTCCCTTTATAAACAATAACATCATCGAAAGGAGAAGGCATTTCATTAATGATAGTCCATCTCTTATCACCACTCTTAAACATAGCCAATTTCCCAGAAACATGAATGGTTAACAAAACAAACTCGGTTTCGCAGTTCAACCAAATCATTACAACTTTCTCCATATATAAATTACCAGCATCAGTAAAACTCGACGAATTCGGCTTATAACTAACATGATGCAAAACATATTCATGACCCAGTTCACGAATTCTCAAATTCATTAAATCTAAAACACGAGGGAGATTATTAGGCAAAGAAGTTGACCTGCACCGCGATAAAGGATCAAACAAGTGCTTCTTACCGGGCAAATCTTCTTCGATTTTGACAAGCCAGCCTTGGGGGTCTGTTTGGTTATGGGAATTTGGTAACCCAACGAGGAAAATAGTTCGCTTGAACAGAGAAAACCCAAAAGAGGTGTGAGAGATACCGTCGTTAGGGAGGATTTTGAAGGTGTTTGATGATAAACGGGGAGGTTTTGGAGGGATTGATGATCGCCATGAATTGCAGACGGAACGGAAACGGAGGAGATCAGTGGAGGTCTCTAGGCGTTTGGAGATCAGCTCTACGAGGTCTTTCGGAAGGTGGGTCCACTCTGCCATGGTGGGATTTTCTATGAGATCAGTGCTGTTGATGGATGGGAAGAGGATTTATGGTCGGACTTGGGCCTTGACGCCTGTTAAGGTTAAAAAGGAATGCGTTATGGCATGTAGATGTTATTGCCATCTATGATCATAAATTCTGGTGGGTCCACCAGAAATTTTTTTAAAAATTTTAGAAACTATTATTAAAAAAGATTAAACCATAAATAAAAGAGAAGATTGAAGCACTAAGATTACTGATTAGAATTTAATTCCTATTAAAGTTGAACTAAGTTTTGGACAGGGGCCGCGGCTAGCGCAGGCCCCCACTACCACAAATTTTGACGTACACTCTCCCACTTGGGGAGATGTTAGACATGTGCACCCGCTCAGTGCAATGCGGGCCACAAGCCTAGGCCTGAGCCTGCTTGATCGCCCAACGACCCCGTCCAGGTAAGTAAGATTAACGGTCGAAGCCCATTGAAATTTATGCACTTTTCGTCGGCCTTCACGTTTCTTCTTTCGATGTGGGATATCGACGCGTTGGTTCGCTCATAAACTATTATCCTTTCTCGGTTTATCCTGTCACCCATGCTAGCAAAGTGCCAATATACTGCACATTTTATTTATGTTTTGCTCTTCTAACTTCTAAGTACGAAATCTTATGAGACATAATTTTATCCATCCACAATCCATTCCCAATGACAAATTTTATAATACATAAAAAATAAATAATGACATATGCGATGAATTATTTCATTGGATCTATTTTAAAGAGAGAAATAGTACTACAGTGAATTATATCCGGATTCACAAAAAATGATAAAAAGATATTCTACTTTCGCTCAAAATTTTTTTAATTTTTTCTCTCTTATTTTTTTATCTATCTCTTTTTTTAAAATGAATACATAAAATAATAATCGTACATAACATTAATTATTTTTTTATATTATAAAATTTCTCTCGTTCCGAACAACGGTGGAGGCAGTCAATAAGAGCAATGATTGATTTTACAAGTTCAATACGAATACCAACAACGAAATTGATGATAGCTTAAATGGTAATTTAATATAACTTTTTGGTCGTTTATTTTGTGTGTATATTCGTGTTAAATTTTTTTATAGTTTTTTATTATGATTTAGGTACACTTTTTTTTTATTCATTTAGAATCTTGTGAGAGTAGAGTTATGAAAATTCATGGATAGATCGTTCTTTTTATCATTTTTTTCCCTGCTTTTTTTTGATCCATTTGAAAGCTCATTAGGACTTGAGCTATAAAATTGGAATATCAATCATACCTATCAAACTGGTCAACACCAGTAAAAATTGATAAAACCAAAGATTCTCATCGTGGTAAATCATACCAAATTTGATTTCATCTATATATGTGTGTGTATATATAAAAGTAGAAGGCCGCAATATGAAAGGAAAGAAAACCCTCCCAAGGCTTAGCGACTCGCAGCTTAATTTCTTCTGCGTGTACGGCAACACGAGGTGCAAAATCTACGAAGAACACCCACCTACCGGCGCAGCTTCATCAAGCATATAAATAAATATATTATTCCAGCCCATAAAGTACTACTTTTAAGCAAGAAGCACCAAATATTCTTAGCAACACAAACTGATTTCCGTTCTTTGCATTTTTTCAAGCCTAAACAACCCTCCTGTCTTGGTAAAGCTACCAAGTCCTAATCTACCTTGGTTCCTTAGCAGATTGATTTAATTTTAATTGCATTTTCTTTCCACTTCTTTAATGACCCTTAAAAGATGCCAACTAAAGATGCTTTCTCATCGTATTCTTGCGAGCCCCTCGCGTACTCCTTCAGCTTGCTTTCGATCTTGCACGCCAATAAACTAGTTAATAGTTAACATTATTGATTATATTCATTTTCTTATATTCAGTTTTTTTTATGTGTTTTTATATTAAATATGCTTAATTAAATTTATTTTATAGGATAAGAGAAGATTAAAGATAAAGAAAAAGAATGTTTTAATCTAAGTAAAATTCTAATACCAACAGATTAACTTTCGGAGAAAAAAACGAAATTTCACATCCTTAAAGCTCCAAAACGTAAAAAAGTCTTTTTGAGAATTAAAGTGGACATCTTAAAGTTTTCATATTGGGTTTAAACGCACAAATTCATTGTGTTTTGGGCTACCAAAGTTGGTTAAAAATCAAGATAAAAATTCGGATATTGTGACAATTCATAATATTAATTAGTATTTTGACTATATATGAAGTTTTACACATTGAATTAAGATGATTCAAAAGCCTATAGAAAGAAAACATCTAGACCTACAATTTTTATGGAGAGTTCGATTCCATATTGTGTTGCCTTCTAGCTTTTAATTAGTTTAGAAGCTACAACACAAAATCTAGGGTTCTATTCACCTATAAGTCCTAATTAATTCTGAGAATAATCATAAATAGGACTTAGAAGCTATCATGTTTATCTTCATACATGTATAAACAACCTCTAGAGCTGTACACGCTACTCTTTACATAATTTAGAGATTTATGTTTCAAATAATGTCTTGCTAAATTATCTTAATTAAATTCAAGAGATTTCAACTTCATTTTATAAAAGATTGTGAGACACGAGTTTAATTTTTAAACTATTTTTTATGATTAATCTTTGAATTTAATTAATATGATTGCATATATAGTTGTTTAAGATAGCCAATTAGTTGATTGTTATAAATAGTTAATACAAGTAGCAAATTAAGTTTTCGGGATTATGATAATGCTATTATTGATTTGACTAGAATTGTTTAATACTGAAATTAATTAATAATAAGAATTTAATTCATAAAAGGTTTTTTTTTTTTGAATTAATGAATATAAAGAAGATTCAAGTTTATTATAGGATTTACATAAATTTAGGCTAAATATTCAATGAAAGGATAATAATTTAAATATTTATGATAATGCTATTATTGATTAGAATACAATTTTTTTTGAATTGTAATTGAATATAATTCATTCCATAAAATTGAAGATTTTTCAATTTTGGTGCACAAGTAAATAACATCTCGCTTTTAGAAAAAAAAATTAAAATTAATGAAATTAGACTAGAATTGTTTAATAATGAAATTAATTAATAATAAGAATTTAATTCATAAAAGGTTTTTTTTGAATTAATGAATATAAAGAAGATTCAAGTTTATTACAGGATTTACATAAATTTAGGCTAAATATTCAATGATAGGATAATAATTTAAATATTTATGATCAATCTACAATTTAAATATTTGAATTTTTTCTTGAACTGAAGTTTCACTTCAATGAAATTATACCTATTTGATTTATGAATTACTCTTAAATTTCGGCATATGAACAAACTCCTCTCTTGTTCTAAGTCATCTGAATTGACAAACCCGTCTTTAAGACTCGACCATTGCTGCAAAAATCATTAAAAACATAATAAATTAAATTTGATGCATTCAACATGCATTAATGGTCCTCTCCTTGCGTTACCAAATAGTTATTATTATTATTATTATTATTTATGAAAATAAGGATTTTGGCTAACACCAATGAATTGAATTGACTGCTTTTATGAATACTCATCCTTTGAATAGTCATTGAATATAATTCATTCCATAAAATTGAAGATTTTTCAATTTTGGTGCACAAATAAATAACATCTTGCTTTAAGAAAAATTTAAAATTTTTCCAGAGCACTCATGTTTTCCTTCTCTTCCAAGGCATAAAACTTAATATAAAGTTCAAAGTATTGGTGGCTGGAAATCATACACAACGCGAGACCAGAGACTGGAAAAAAAAGTTGACAAAAATCTCATAAAATAGGTCTTTTAATACATATCAAACCTCATGTAACTTAAGCATATCTAGAGATTCCTTGAAAAGGAAAAATAACAATTTTTTATAACGACAATTTCCTGCTTGCCTTGCTTTAGCTCTTCAATTCCTTGAAAGGAAAAATACAAAATAACAACAATCTAATTTATTTATCTATCTTCGGCATCTTATCCCCATATAGGATACGACGCGCGACATGTAGGTATCCCACATCAAAAAGAAAAAAGCGAAGGAGCAACGAGAAGACTATAACATAGGATGACGGCCCGACGTTGCAATATACTTACCAAGTGGGAAAGTGTCCGTCAAAGTTTGTGGCAGCGGGGGCCTTCGTTAGCCGCGGTCCCTGTCTAAAATTTACTTCAAGGTATTTTTTAAACCTTCTTAAGAAATGATGAGAATAAGTAATCAAATTTTAAACTTAATAAACCGGGAAGAATTCAGGCCGAAAGCGTCAAACCAACCCTGAAAATCAGCGAAGTTGAAGTTGAGTTTTAATCAAGTTTCTGAATTTTGTATTTTGATTTTTTTATGATCTTAAGCTATCATCTCTTTTTCATCTAAACTCTTTTGATATAATAAATCATAAATTAGTTTTTCTTGTTTTGAAAAATAAATAAATAAATTAGTTCTTCTAGTTTGAAATACTAAATATTTTGTCATTCTTGTTGTTTTTCAATTTATTTATTTGAAAATAGTTTTTAAATTTTGTATTTTGATTTTTTTTTTTTATGATTTTATGCTATTCTTTCTTTTTCCTCTAAACTCTATTGATAAAGTAAATTATAAATTAGTCTTCTCGTGTCAAAAAATAATCCATTAGTACCTCTGGGTTGAAAAACTAAATATTTAAATGTTTTTTTACCATTTTTGAATTTATTTTTTTAAAAAAGCAATATGTTGCTTTTTTTTTTTTTTTTTCATGTGTGGATATATCAATTGTCACATACACGTATTATTACAGGTTCAGTTAATCAATCATTTTGATTCTAGTTGAAGTCCAAACATATTTCAAAATGGTAAAAAAATGTAGTACGAGCGTTAGACCACACAGTTTGCAGGAAAGTGACATTTGTTAGTCTCTTATATATAAAATGCATTTATTTGATACTTTATACGAGACTCAGAGAGTAATGAATTGATATCCTAATCACAATATTTAATCAGCTTTCAAGTAACATAATTATAGGGATTGATGTAATATTTCACGCTATTTACTAGCAATTGATATCCATATAAAATGCATTTGTTTACTCCAGTGACAATAAATTTGAATAGTTAAGATACTAGTTGGTTTTTTGCGTTTTTTCTGCAGGTTGAACAATAATTGTTTTTTATTAATTCGATAGTCTATATTATGTTGTTGGTCAATTAAAATATATAAAATAAAAAATTCATCCAATTTCATAATTTTTAATCAAAAAATTATATTTAATTTATTCTTCATTATATTTTTCATAAATTTTATAGTTAAAAAAAATTATTATTGTTTAAAATTGATCTATTCACTTTGTCATTTCTTATGAAAACGCTCATCAAATTAATTTTTATTGTTTTCTATATAATTTGATTTGTCAAAAAAATATAATTTATTTTTCTCTATGCATAGATTTTTTTAATCAATTTTTTTAATAAATAATCAAATAAAAAATAGAATTCACGTTATTTGTTTATTTTTATATATAATTAAAATATATCAAAATCATTTTTGTAGCTGTTTTTATTAAAGTTTACTAACTTCAATATATGCCTTATAACTACTAAAGTTTTTTTTTAAAAAAAAACAGTTTTCAATTTATGTTGTACACTCGACCCATCGAGTATGAATCATTAGTTTTAACATTATAAAACTAATTTCATAATTTTTAATCAAATATTTTTATTTAATTTATTCTTTTTATGTTTTCATGAATTTTGTATTTAAAAAAATATGACTTGTTATTTTTTTCTAAGATTGTGTCAAAAAAATAAAACAATAATCAATATAAAAACTTATATAAAGATTATTAACAAATAATTTTTTTTATTCTTGTTAATGTTTATGAGAATAATAACTTTTTAAAAATATATACATTTGATTTACATATAGCTATTTAGAGAATAATCAATAATATTAGTATAAAAATTTTATTTGAATTATTAGATGGTTCTTCTAAAATAATTTTAAAAAATTAATAGCACATAGCTGGTGTTATTTATATAAATGCATAGTTAATTTGATGAGAATTTTCATAAGAAACAACAAATTTTTTAAAAAAATCATTTTAAATAGTAGGAGTAATATAATTCGATATATATGTTCATTCTAAAATATGAAAGCATAACATATATATTTCATAATCACCCGTTTGTATAAAAAAACAAACAAAATAACAATTTATTTTCTCATAAATTTCGCATCCAATTCAATAATAATAAAATTAAAATAAATTTCCAAAAAAAAAAAAAAGCAAGTATGTGTGCTTGGTCCATCTAGGGACCAAAATAAATAATAATTGGTTTTTCATATTTTCGCATACAATTCAAGAATAAAAAAAAATTAAAATAAACTACGAGGATAAAAAAAAGCAAGAATGTGTGCTTGGTCTATGTAAGGACCAAAAATATTTTTTGAAAATATCAAGCATCAAAATGGAACACTATTAAATTTGTATATGAATGTCAAAAAAACTCAAAGATCACGAAAATACCATTTCCCCTGCTGAAAGGAATAATGCACGTGATTCTTAGTGAATAGTGCAAATGTGTCCGAATGAATAATGTTTCAAATAGTATCGGTAAGTAGTAAACCATCATTTTATTTTATTTTCTTTGTTACTAGTCGGTTTTTTGTGCTAAACCATGGGTCGAACAAATTTTTTTTTTTTCTAGTTCATTAGTCTATACTATGTTATAAGTCAATCAAAATATATAAAATTAAAAGCAAAATAAAAAAATTTCATCTAATTTCAAAAATTTTAATAAAAAAATTGTTTTTTTTTTTTATCTTTTTCATAAATTTTGTAATTAAAAAAAATATGATTCTTACTTGTTTAAAATTGATCTATTTAGTTTGTCATTTCTTACGAAAACTCTTATCAAATTAATTTTTTATTATTTTTATATAATTTGACTTATTAAAAAATATAATTTATTTTTCTCTATGTACGTATTTTTGAATAATTTTTGAATAAATAATCAATGAAAAAATTTAATTTATACTACATACTCTAACCAACTAAGTATAGTAGTGACACACACACACACACACACACATAAATGAGAACAATGATTTTATTAAAAATTAACTATGCATCTACACACATAACATCAACTATTTACTATTTTTTTAAAATATTATAAAATTAATTTCATAGTTTTTAATCAACTATTTAATTTAATTTATTATTCTTTGTGTGTGTGTGTTTTTTTTTTTATGAATTTTGTAATTAAAAAAACACTACTTGTTCTTTTTTATGCATTCATTTTTAAATAAAAACCTATAATAACCTAAATATAAAATTTTCAAAACATCAATTAAAAAATTTAACTATACTACATATTCTAACCAACTAAGTATAGTCATGACACACACACACGCACACACGCACACACACACACACACATAAATAAGATCACCGATTTTATTAAAATCAAATATGCATCTACACACATAACATCAACTATTTACTCGTTATTTTTTTAATATTATAAAATTAATTTCATAGTTTTTAATAAAATATTTAATTTAATTTATTCTTCTTTATGTCTTTTTTTTTTTTTTTTATGAATTTTGTAATTAAAAAAACACTACTTGTTCCTTTTTATGCATTCATTTTTAAATAAAAACTTGTAATAATCTAAATATAAAATTTTAAAAACATCTTAATTTTTTTTTCATAAGATCGTGTTGAAGAAATAAAACAATAATTAATATAAATTTTTTTAGAAAGATTAACAAGTGAATTTTTTTATTCTTGTTTTAATGTTGATGAAAAGAATAACTTTTTAAAAATATATACATTTAATTTATATATATTTATTTAAAAAATAATCAATAATTATAGTATAGAAAACTATATTTGAATTATTAGGTGGTTATTCTAAAATATTTTTAAAAATTTAATGATAAATATTTGGTGTTTTTTTTTACGTAGATGCATGGTTAATTTGATGAAAATTTCCATAAGAAACAAAAAAATAAAAAAAATAATTTTAAATAATAAGAATAATATAATCCGATATATATATATATTCTAAATATATGAAAACATAGCGTACATATTTCATAATCACTAGCTCTGTATGGAAAACGAACAAAATAAAAATTATTTTTTCATAATTTTCATATCCAATTCAATAGTAAAAGAAATTAAAATAAATTGCGAGAAAAAAAAAAGCAAGCATGTGTGCTTGGTCCATGTGAGGACCAAAATAAATAATAATTATTTTTCATAATTTAGGATAAATTCAATAATAAAAAATTAAAATAAGTTTTGAGAAAAAGAAGCAAGCATATGTGCTCGGTCCATTTAGGGATCAAAAATATTTTTTGAAAACATTAGTGATCTAAATAAAACACAATGTGAAATTCACATATGAATGCTAAAAAAACTCAAAAATCATGAAAATACTAAAACATAATGAAAGCATGCACTAGTAGTGCGCATGAGTCGTGGTGAATGATGCAAATGAATGTGGGCGAACATTATATGTTTTTTCAAAGTGTATGCAAAATTTCACAAAATTTCATAATTCTTTATAATATTGTGAATGAATAAATCAACGAACATTTTACTTTTTAAAATTATTTTTGGGTAAAAACGCCGAATGTCATGAGAAAAGTTGAATTTTATTTGAATCAATTTTTGAATTTTGAATTTTTTTATATAATCTTAGTTATTATCTCTTGTCTCTAAACTCTTATTTTATGAAATTTTGCATACACTTTGAAAAAACATATAATTATTTTTTAAAAAAATTTCAGAATTTTTTAAAATCAGAAATTTTATTTATTTATTTTTTAAATATAAACAATAAAATTTAGTCCGAAATGATCTCAAAGTTTTTAAAAAGCTTCAGATAATTTTTATTGAATGATTTTTATAATAGAAATAGTTATGTAATTTTCATTTTTTAAAATATAAGTAATTATTATTTTTCAAGATAAATGACAGAAAATTGAAGGATGGAGTAAAAAAATAAAGTTCAAAAAGATAAAAACAAAAATATAAAAAATTGATTTTCAAATAGAATAAAGTTCAGGAAAGATTAGCTTTTATAGCCAGAAATTTTATATTTTTGAATCAACACATTTAAGGTGCAAACTGAAAAGAAACTTTAATATTCCTTTTCAATTTCCACGTTATTTAAATTCAAAATTTAATTAACTCTACACGCTTAATTCTCAACTCTCTCGATATTTAGTTCCGAAAAGCCTACAGACAAACCCAAGCCTAGTCCTCCTTCGAGCCCAAGCCCAAGACCCTCCATCCTGACCTTTTTCTATATAAAAACCTCGTTGCAAGCTTGAACCCTCTTTGCTTTCATTCTCCCTGCCTGAGCCCTTTCAATAAAAAAACCGAACAAGGAACAGAGAAAAATTCGAAAGCGTTCTAACATGGACACCAGCAGGAAGAAGAAGCAGAACTCTAGTAAAAGAAATAACGGGACAAGTCCCACAACTTCAACTCAAAAGAGTTTTGGAGCCAACAAGCTAGAAATCGGTGAAAATAATGCTTCACGTTTAATTGGTAGCATTATTGAAAAGGGTATTTCTGAAACCCAACAAAACAAGCCTACTCCACCTCCTCAACTCACCGTTTTGCCTTTCCCTGTTGCTCGCCACCGTTCCCATGGTCCCGTAAGCCCCCCTTAACCCCCTTCTTTCTTTACACTATCACTCCTTTCAGTTTCAAATTTGAAGAATGTTGGGTTTCGTCTCTTGTTCTTGAAAGTAAAAGGTTTAGTTTTTTTTTTTTGTGAAGAAACAAGTTTGAACTATGGTTATTGGGGAAGTTTAGGCGAAGAAAAGAAGTTAAAGTTATTAATCCTTGTGTATGGTTTAGTTGAGTTTTTATTGTTTTAGAGAGATTGAAATAATGGGATGTAATGTATAGTTAAAAAGTTTAGAACTTTACTACATCATGACCAATATGGATGGAGGAATCTTTTGTTTTGGATTTTTCATGAAATAAATTATGGTTTTGCATGGTGGGTGTTTGTTTGTGAACTGATATTTGGATTTGATTAACTGCAGCATTGGGGTCCGATAAGTAGTAGAAATTATGGTAATGATGATAATGAGGATGGCGAGAAGGATGATGGTGAAGAAGATGATGATTCTGTTTACTTTAATCCAATATCAGCTTTTGCGCATCCTGTAAAGAGGAAGCAGAAAAAGGGTTTGGATCTTAGCCGGTGGAGAGAGTTGCTACCCAGTGATAATTCATTGGAGATTGATGAGGTGGACAAAAATAGGGCTGGATTCAAGAAAACAGGAAAATATACGAAGGATGGAGTGGAGAAGAAAAAGTTACTAACTGACCAAACTCGAGCTAGTGAGTTTCCGATGGAAGCGGATGTAGAAGCGGATTTAAGTTCTCCTATGCCTCCAGCTAAAGTGAAAGAGTCTGTTACTTATGTAGCTGGCATGGAAATAGATAATCATGCATTATCAGAGATGCTAAAGAAGCGAGAGAAGCTCAATTCAACTGTAGTTTCTAGCTCTGGTTACAATAGTTATGGGAATGAACAAGGATCTGAGTCTCTTGAGAGTGAGATTGATGCAGAAAATATTTCCCGGTTGCAAAGCATGTCAACTGAAGAGATTGCAGAAGCACAGGCTGAGATAATGGAGAAGATGAACCCTGAGTTGCTGAACTTGCTTAAAAAACGTGGCAAAGAAAAATTGAAGAAAAATGTCTCAAGGTCAGATGAGGCTGTCACTAGTCAAGTAGATAATATCCCAATCAAGAATCGCTTGCTCAAACACTCAGATAGTTCTCCTCATGTAGTGAGTGGAAGGCCTGAGATGATGACAGCGAATATATCAAAAGACATGAAGAGTGGGCTAGATAACAATGCGGTGCATAATTTAGGCACAACTGGTGGCAGTTTGTGGAATGCTTGGAGTGAGAGGGTTGAAGCAGTTAGAGGATTAAGGTTTTCTTTTACGGGGACTGTTATTGCAGATGAACCTGAGACTGGTATGACTAAAGTCTTATTCCTGGTATTGTTAGTTTATGTGTTCATCAATAGCAACCAATCATTTTTGTTTTTATTTTTTGAAAAGAGAAAAGATGAACTTCTGATTCTCTAATTTACTCCAGTCTATTGACATTTGGTTCATTTGTGCAATATCTTTTTAGTCATTTATCATTTTCAGTTTTGCTATCTATGTTGGATTTATAATTAACCTTCTAGGCATTAGGAACTGTGCATTGTAATGTTATTTGATTTACTTGAGTGCTGATGGTTCCTTTAATAATCACAAAAGCCAAGACCTCTGGGTTTTGGTATCATAGGCAAGAAGCTAATTAAGCAACCAAGTTAAAATTCTTCAGGATGCAATAAGAAGACCTAATGTCTGACATAATAATAACACGAGAAAGTTTGGTAGCTTAGTGATCACCTTTGCTCACTGTTTAGTGAGCAGTTTTAGATATAAAGGTTATTCAAACTTCCTCACCTTTGTTCATAAACCAGTAATAATTTTTGTTTTCAGGGTTCTTCTAATACGTCTCTAAAAGAATGTTGAATTTGTTGTTATTTTTTTTAATTTATAATCTGGAATAATAGTGTAATTACTTTTGCGATAAATTTACATTTTAGGTCTTTATTTTCCAGGGATAACAGATGCCTCAGTATTAAATTGAGTATTCTTTTTTGTTTTGTAGGTAATATATCCAGTGACGATGGGTATAGTGCTGATAATGTTGCTGAACGTGACTTTTTGCGGACTGAGGGAGACCCGGGTGCAGTGGGATATACAATCAAAGAAGCAGTACAACTTACTAGAAGTGTGGTTAGTTAACATCATTCATAGTTCACCAATTCATTCAAGTGACTTATTTTAGATTTTGGCTTTCTCAAATAAATGGAAAGCAACACTTTATGATTTTTTTCTATAAGCTGGTTGTGGAATGCTAATTTTGTTAGTTTCAGATTCCGGCACAACGGGCTCTTGCATTGCATCTTCTTGCCTCTGTGCTTGATAATGCGATACATAGTATTCAACAAAATCAAGTTAGATCTACTGTGAGAAATGCTGATCAAGTTGCCAAGTCAAATGATTGGGAGGCTATTTGGGCTTTTGCACTTGGCCCTGAACCTGAGCTTGTTTTAGCATTGAGGCGAGTCGCCCCAAACACTTCTACTTTTTATTTTTACTGCCCTTTGGCAATGATGATTGAATCACCTGCTTTAGATGACGCAATAGTTACTTAATGTTGTGTTGATTTGTAGGATGTGTCTCGATGATAATCACCATTCAGTAGTTTTAGCTTGCGTGAAAGTTATTCGGTCTGTACTCAGTTGTGATTTGAATGAGAATTTCTTCGAAATTTCTGAGGTAAAGTTCAGGAATTTTTCTTCTTAGCTGAGCATATTTCTAGCATCAGTTGACTTTGAGTTTTTTTTTGTCTTCCAGAAAGTAGCTACTTATGAGCAGGATATCTTCACTGCCCCTGTTTTCCGAAGCAAACCAGACATTGACAATGGTTTTCTTCATGGTGGTTTCTGGAAGTATAATGCTAAACCTTCTAATATTCTGGCTTTTGCCGAGGATATCGTTGATGATGAGATTGAAGGGAAACACACAATTCAGGATGATATTGCTGTTGCTGGTCAGGATTTTGCTGCAGGTTTGGTAAGGATGGGAATCCTTCCTAGGATGCGCTGTCTTCTGAAGGTAATATTGGCACAAAGAGAACAACATTTTGTGATCAAAGTTAATGTGGGTGAATTGACTGTTGCTACTGTAGTGTTTTATTTTGCTTCTGTAATAGTGTTGTCTGCTTAATAAATATAGAATAATTCACATGTCGTTGTTTGTATCTAATAAATACTCAAGGTTGAATTCTGTTGGAGGTCTGCAAAATGGGGATGGATATGAATTTAGGATGTCCTTTCATACTTGTTACAAAATTTTCCTTAGCGTACCTTTCAGAGTTCTAGACGTTTGAAATTACTAACACTCAAATGAGAAGACATGTTTATAGTTTTACTCTTTTTGTTGAACTTTTGCACCCTGCATGATTGATTTAAATAATGGTTCCCTTGTGCATGCTTAATGAATTTTGATCTGCATTTTTCTACATCTGATTTCAGGCTGACCCTACTGCTGCTTTGGAAGACTCTGTAATTTCCATACTTATTGGTATAGCAAGGCACTCCCCAACTTGTGCAAATGCAATTATGAAGTGCCAAAAGCTTGTCCATACGGTTGTCCACAGGTTCACTTTGGGAGATAATATAGAAGCTCATCCTTCTAAGATAAAATCTGTTAGCCTTTTGAAGGTAAGAAATTTCACGTTTCTGAACAATTATAAGTGGTGTTTAGTCCTATTTATTCTATTGTATGGTTAATTCCTCTAATGATTTGTTCAAGATAGAGCCATTTTAATGTTCTTTATTCATGTCAAACAGGTGTTGGCTCAATCTGACAAGAGGAATTGCACAGAGTTAATAAAGAATGGGTCTGTTCAGGCTATGATGTGCCATCTTTATCGATATACTTCCTCCCTTGATTACTGGCTAAAATCTGGGAAGGAGATATGTAAACTATCATCAGCTTTGATGGTTGAAGAACTACGTCTTTGGAAGGTCTGCATTCATTATGGATGCTGTATAGCATGCTTTTCAGATATCTTCCCTGCATTATGCTTGTGGTTGAATCCACCTACATTCATGAAACTTCAAGAGAACAATGTTCTTGGTGAATTTGCTTCTGTCTCTAAGGAGGCATACCTTGTCTTGGAGGCTTTGGCTAGAAAACTTCCAAATTTCTTTATGCAGAAGTATGCAAGCAATCAGATGTTAGATTATGGTGGCGATGAACAGGAAACTTGGTCTTGGAGTTTCGTTACTCCGATGGTTGATTTAGCTCTAAAGTGGATAGCATCCATGAGTGATCCATACATCTCTAAAATCTTTGAGTGGGTGAAAGGAATTAGGAGTGATCTGGTTTTTCAAGATTCATCTGTTAGTTCCTTGCTGTGGGTCTATTCAGCTGTCTTGCATATGCTTTCCACATTGCTTGAGAGAGTGATCCCAGAGGATGCCTTGAGACTCCAAGGAAGTGGTCAGCACGTGCCATGGTTGCCAGAATTTGTTCCTAAGATTGGACTTGAAATTGTTAAAAATGGGTTTTTGAGTTTCATTGATGAACTGTGCCATTTGAGACAACATAGTAAAAATGAAACGTCATTAGCTTCTGTTTGTTGCCTTCATGGGCTAATCCGGGCTTTTGTATCCATTGATAATTTGATCCAATTAGCTAAGAGTGGGATCCATAGTCCTCCTTCCCAAGAATACAGATTCTCAGGAGAAGCAAAAATACTCGAGGATGGGATACTAAAGAGTTCTCTGGTGGAATTGAAATGCACGCTTAATCTTTTTATGAAATTTGTGGCATCAGAATGGCACTCTGTGCAGTCAATTGAGACTTTTGGTAGAGGAGGACCAACTCCAGGGGTAGGAATTGGTTGGGGTGCCTCTGGTGGAGGATTTTGGTCCATGACTGTTTTGTTGGCTCAAACAGATGCAAGATTGCTAATTGGCATGCTTGAAATTTTTCAGAAGTTGTCTCGCACAGAAGCCCCAACTGATGAAGAAATGGAGTTCACTATGCACATGATCACTTCTCTATTAGGAGTTTTCCTATCAATTGGACCAAGGGATAAGGTTGTTATGGAGAAGGCCTTAGATATTTTGCTTGATATCCCTATTCTTAAGTATCTTGACTTCTATACACACAGATTTCTACAATCAAATGAGAGAGTGGAACTCTTTGGATGGGAACATAAAGAAGAGGACTATGTGTTCTTTAGTAACACATTGGCTTCTCACTTTAAGAATAGATGGTTGTCTGTGAAGAGGAAATCGAAAGCCACAACAGAGGACAATAGAACTTCTCAGAAGGGAAAATCATCCCTGGAAACCATACATGAGGATTTGGACATATCAGCTATGACAAGGCAAGATGATTACTTAACTTCTTTGGCAGCAGAGTGGGCTCACCAGAGACTGCCACTTCCCATGCATTGGTTTCTTAGTCCAGTTGCAACCATCTCCAATAACAAACAGGGTTGTCTTCAAAGTGTTTCTGATACATGGAATCTTACCAAGGACCCCCATGATACACTTGAAGTTGTTAAAGGTGGGCTTTTCTTTCTACTAGGGCTGGAAGCCATGTCCACTTTCCTGCCCACTGATTCCCCCTCTCCTGTTCGCTGTGTACCTCTAATTTGGAAGTTGCATTCTCTATCTGCCATACTACTTCTTGGAATGGGCGTGCTTGAGGATGACAAGAGTAGGGATGTTTATGAAGCCTTGCAAGACATCTATGGTCAGCTTCTTGATGAATCAAGATCTATTAGAAATGCTGAACATGTTTTGGAGGATAACATGAATGTACTGCCAGAAATTGGGAAGAAATCTACCTGGGAGTTTTTGAGGTTTCAATCAGAGGTTCATGAGAGTTATTCTACATTTCTTGAAACTCTTGTGGAGCAGTTTGCTGCTATATCCTATGGTGATATGCTTTTTGGCCGGCAAGTTGCTGTATATTTGCATCGTTGCACTGAAGCTCCTGCGAGACTTGCTGCCTGGAATGCACTGGCCAATGCTCATATTCTTGAAATTCTACCACCTTTGGAGAAATGCTTTGCTGGGGCAGAAGGATACCTTGAACCTGTTGAGGTATACCTTACTGACCGTCAACTTCTTTTATTGACCATGAACCTCTTAGTGCAAATCTGTAGTCTAGTTCAAGCTTGCATGAGTTCCATTTAATAAGAATGCCGCTCCTGTCTTTGGCTGCAACTGGTGAAAATTTTCAGGAAAAAAACGAAAGAACAAAAAGAGAGGAAAGGCATAATTTTTTGTGTTAGGTTATCTTGAGGTTTATAGGAGAATTAAGTACATTTTCTCTGTTATAATGTATCTAGGAAGAAATGATGAGATATTAACTAAATGCATGGTTGTATATTGGTTTTGCAAACGAGCAGGAGATCTTGATTTACTTTTATCTCAGGAATAGTGGTCTTTAGTTTGTCTCTGTCATGTTTTTGCTGGTCTCTCAAATTTTCGCAATTTCAAATAAATTTTTGGTTGAATTTTAGTATCCTGAAGTAGATTCTGAGTTCAATCACAATACGCAGACACTTGTTATTTAAGAAAGTTAGGTCCCTTTGCAGGATAATGAAGGCATTTTGGAAGCTTATGTCAAAGCATGGGTTTCTGGTTCTCTTGACAGAGCTGCAACTCGAGGATCAATGGCATATACCCTGGTTCTACATCACCTTTCATCTTTCATTTTCCTGATTCATGCTAGTGACAAGATAACGCTGAGAAATAAGCTTGCAAAGTCACTTTTGCGAGACTACTCCAAGAAGCAGAGACATGAGGTATGAAACTTTTCTGGAAGTTTAATTACGTATTGTTTCGGTTCTGATTGAATAATTAGATATCTTGGGGCTTAAAAATTGGCGACATATCATTCAAACGATTTCAATATCAATATAGCAGTCGAAATGTTCAGTGTTATTTGCAAGAGCTGATATTGTTGAGGTGTTCATAATCTTCCAGTAGCCAATTATTACTTGGTTCTTTGACTCAGTAGCAATCTGGAATGACAGTCTAGTGCTGCCTTTTCTGTATTTAGACAAAACCGGACTTGTTTTACGATGAAAATAATAAATTTCAAATGGTGAAAATGTTTTTGGTTTAGGAGCAAGCATTGATATGTTAACTGTATAGTAACTATCCAGTTCTTTTTACAGGGAATGATGTTGGAATTGGTTCGGTACTACAAGCCATTGACATCTCACTTGCCTGAGAAGCAAGAAGGCTTGTCGCTACAGGTTAGGAATATTGAGATAAGGTTTGAAGTACTTGTGGAAGCTTGCGATAGAGATTCCTCTCTTTTGATTGAGGTGGAGAAATTAAAATCCGCTTTTGTAAAGAAAAAGTTTGACGATTGACTATGATGTGTGGATATGCAAGAAGATATATCTATAGAAGATGAATAAAAAAAAAAAAACAACAAAAATAAAAAGAGAAAGGGGCATGAAGGAATCTTCTCTGTGTAGTCCCAATGAGCACTAAGAAATTAGAAGGTTCTCGATCATGGATTCAAGACAAATTTTTGACACGATCCGTTGTAAATTAAATGGACTGTGGTGTAGATTTAAGTCTTATACTGATTATTGTATCTGATTATTTGACCAGTCCCGTACTGATTATTTTGTCAAAGCACAGAAGGGTGGCCCTTCTGCAGTGGAGGGAGTTTCTGGAAGGGCTCCCCTTTCAGGGTGAGGTTATTTTCAGTAATTGACTACGTATATCTCGCAGTCAACATCCCGTTACTTAAGAGGGCACCAGGTCAAAACTTTTCAGCACTGCTTGTAAAGATTTTTCTCAAATGGAGATGATATTTGCATGCATCAACTACATTTCTATCCATCCACGTGGTTGTAGCCCATCACATTTACTCCCCTCTTGGACATTACATGTGCTCTAAGGTCCACCAAAAATGGAATTTGTATGTATAATGTCCCAAAGGTTCAGCTTAAGATAAGAGCAAAGGATGATTTAGTTAAGCGAGAGTCTAGTGAATAGGAATGGATTAAAAGTCAGGTGTCAGGATAAGAGAGTCTCGATTGATGTGAATATATATATATATATATAGAACAAATAAATCAAATAATTTATCACGTGTTAAGCAAATAACTTTCTCCATAAAATAACATAATTTATCACGTCCTTACGTCTAAAGCAAAAACTTTCTTTAGGAAATAACATAATTTATCACATGTTCTTACGTCTAAAGCAAATAACTTTCTCCAGAAAATAACATAATTTATGTCCAACTTGAGATTACATCTAATCCCAAAAATCTTAATCCCACCCAGCATATATCATAATCTTACCTGTTTTATATATATATAGTGTACAATTATTTACGTGCTGGCATTTTAAAGATTCTGTCATGTCAATTATTTAGGTTTACAAGAATTATTATCAATTTCTTTATTTTTCTAATCCAATTGATAGACATATAGCCTCTCTATTGTCTTATCTTTCTCTATATTATCATACAAATCACTAAATTTATTAACATGCATTATTAAAGCTTCTACTAGTTATTTATCCACAAATAATCTATATATAAACATATCATCCCTTGCACTTCTATCTATAATCTATAACTATTATTTCTCATGTAGATTCATAAAATAAAAAATAGAAAATTATCGACTATTTTCCCCTTGATAACTTAAAGAAATATATATATATATATATATATATATATTGCTAAGGGGGGTTTTTCTATGCAATAAACACCTGAAATGAACATACCGGTGTTCTAGAAAATAGATCATTTGGGGGAAAAAGAAGTTATTTTGTATATCACGTACGTCAGCTTAATAAGAATTAATCATAAATTAATAATAACTATCTATGATGTAACTCTATATAAAAGCATGATGTCCAAATATTTGATCAAGCAAAAATATATTGAATGAAACTTTTATATTACTTAATTTTTGTGGAGTTAGCAAGTAGCTTCTAATAATATGCAAAGCAACATGTTCAACATCTAATGCATGTAGTTTACTGAACCAAAAATATGAAATGATTATGTCCAACTACTTGGGATTAGATATTAATTTCTAAAAGTATATTTTACAGTAACTTACACCTTAAGCAGATCTTACTGAAAGTAACATTTTTTCTAATGTGATCCTGTCCTGTCAATATAATCTAAGCTTCAACTTGGTTTGTGCATCATCAAGAGAACCAAAGACCAGAAGAGATGGAGAGAGAGATGGGATTGGCCACAAAAACAGATTCAGAAATAAGAGAAGATGAAGAAGAGGCACAAGCTGAAGTTGAAATATGGAAATACATATTTGGATTTACTAATATGGCTGTAGTGAAGTGTGCCATTGAGCTTGGAATAGCTGATGCTATTGAAAACCATAAAGGCCCTATGACACTATCAGAGTTATCATCCTCACTTGGCTGTGCTCCTTCCTCTCTTTACCGGATTATGAGGTTCTTGGTTCATCACAACATTTTCAAAGAGAGAGCCTCTAGCCAAGGCACCACAGTTTATGTCCAGACAGCACTTTCTCGCCGATTACTTAAGAAGGGAGAAAAGAGCATGGCTGATTTTCTTTTGTTTGAGAGCAGCCATGTAATGCTGGCACCATGGCACAATCTAAGTTCCCGCGTCCTGACTGAAAATATTTCACCATTTCAGGGGGCTCATGGAGATGATTTATGGAAATATGCATCGGCCAATCCAGTTCACAGCAAGTTCATTGATGATGCAATGGCCTGTGATGCTAAGCTGGTAGTGCCAGCGATAGTTGAAGGTTGTCCAGAGGTGTTTGATGGGGTTAAATCTTTGGTGGATGTTGGTGGGGGTAATGGAACTGCTTTGCAGATACTGGTTAAGGCATTTCCTAGGATCCAGGGCATAAACTTTGATCTTCCCCATGTTGTTACTGTTGCTACAGAATCTGAGGGTATTAAGCATGTTGGTGGTGACTTTTTTGGGAGTGTTCCAAAGGCTGATGCTGCTTTCATCATGGTTAGTAATATTTTTTCTTTCCAAAATTGGTTAACTATCAAGAAAGAATCAATCAACATTTCCTTAAAAGGAAAAAAAAACTTTTGTCCAATTTTTCAAGTACCTTGTCCCTTTAATACTTCAGGGAAATAATATTATTCACGTGCTATACTTGCTAGCTTATTGGAACAAGTCCAAATGGTTAGATTTCCTCCTTCCACATCCCCATTTCCTACCAACTCTCTCTGCAGAAAGGCATTAGTTAAAAGCTAGAAGCAGAAGTTGGTCAACTGGCCTGAGAAATTCTCTGCTTCCAAATCTGAATTCAAAGCATATGTTCGATGATGTCTATCACTGATGCGTAGGTACTTTACCTTTTCTTTTTTGAGTTGCAGTGTGTTCTTCATGACTGGAATGATGAAGAGTGCATTCAAATCCTGAAAAACTGTAAAGAAGCTATACCGAGTGACAAAGGGAAGGTGATAATTGTTGAAGCTGTGGTTGGTGAAGAGAAAGGAGCCAAGCTTGAATTTGTGAGGCTAATGTTAGACATGGTCATGATGGCTCATACCAACGCAGGCAAAGAAAGGACCTCTAAGGAATGGGAATATGTTCTTAAGGAGGCTGGCTTTAGCAGCTACACTATAAAACCAATTCGTGCAGTGCAATCTGTCATTGTGGCTTCCCTTTGATTTCCACAGTAATTTAAGGATGTAACTAGTTTGAAGTTAATTTGTCTTTCAGTGCTGCTTAGTCTCGTTATGCTTTTACTTGTACCTTACCTTATATTGTAATAATGGCTACTGCATGCCAGGCCAATGGTTTCTATGTTCAAAACTGGTAACCTAAGTCTGTCTGTTCGATTTCTTCATCTGAGAAGATTCTGTATATCTAGCAGGATTCCCGATGTTGTAGCCTGTCATTCATATAGGTAGAAAATGTTCACCCTTGTGATTACTGAATAAGAGCTGAACTTAAAATGGTGGCAACATCTTTGTGGCTGGGGCATTGGGCTACCATTGAATTATTGACAGGGTGTGTCCATTGCTAGTTGAAAGTTGAAACACTGTTTTTGTCGGCCTTTCGACAATGGGAACTGATATGTCGCTTCTACCCTTTGCAACGCAGCTACCAGAAATTCTTGAAATGCCCTTTACCTATAGATTAGCACATGAATTATACTGCTGAATTTATTTTGCTTGGATTGTCTTACTGACATGATATCTGGACCAATGGACCAAACAACTGGAAAACCAATTACCTGTGGGTGGTGCCAGCTTAGCCAGAGTGGGGCTGCATCCTTAAAAGATTGGAGAGAATAAAGTGAGGAAAAGGATGTAGGGAAAAAGGACAATGACCCACGTACGCATACCAATAATTAAACTAGACTAATCAATGACGTGAATCAAGCCTGGAACTTTTCCAAACAAGCAGTCCATTTCATATGGAAAAAAACAAAACCAACATGAAATTGGTAGCATAAGAGAATATAGTGTAGTTTAATCTGAAACAACTTTCAGAAGCTATATGCCTATTTGATTCGTATATTTGGGGCTTCGACCTGAAGTTTTTTTAAAGGATTTCATTGAAAAATTCAAAGAGAAAGATCTGCACAAACTAAAGAGAGATGGAGAGGACAGCAAGAGATTCAAAACTGAAAGAGGTAGATGTGCAACCAGAAGTTGAAATATGGAAATATGTATTTGGTTTACCGAAATGGCTGTAGTTAAGTGTGCTATTGAACTTGGAATAGCTGAGGCCATTGAAAACCATGAGGGTCCTATGCCATTGAAATATGGAAATATGTTGTCTGTTGCAGTATGTGAAGAAGTAAAGCATGTTGGAGGAGACATGTTTCACAGTATTCCTGATGTGGACGCATTCATTGGGAGGAAGTACAGCCGCAGAAACAAGTGCCTACAGTAGAGGAATAGCTGGTGATTTTATTTCATGCAGTGGTTATCCTTCTAAGTTTAGTAAGAATAAAAAGACCAATAGGCAATCTCTTAAAGGAGCAATTATTCAGGAGTCCTGAAACTCCACATCAGATAAAGACGGCTTCTATTTATTATCTGCCTTGTGTATATTTTTTTACCCATAGGATAAAACAAAGAGTTTTTTCCTAACCAACACACTATGAAATCTTTATTCCTTAACAAGGATACTTTTAAACTTATTTCTTAAATAAAGGTTTTTTTTTGCCACATGATATGTTTTCATCCACATCATTGTTTTTTAATTATTAAAACATAATTTTAATATATTAAATAACTTTATTTTTATTTTAGGTATTTCATTAATTAAAAAACATAAAAATACTAAAACCTCTCTTCTTAAAAGAAAAAAAATAAAAAAAACATTCATCTTTTTAGGTTTAGGGGCTGCCGTCGACTACAAAACCTAATACCATGTCATTGGCAAAAATGGCTGGTACCCTTTCATGAACTCAAAATCTCGAAAGGATCATGAGTTATTTTGGCCTTAAATTTAAATAAAGTTTGTCGAGGAATTGGGTGCTGATAGTGGAATTGCAAGTCGGGAGCCAATACGTTTGTGTTGTTGATTAGAATCGGAGAAGGTGATAAATTGCCAACAAGGCCAAAAGATTTGTCCCAAGAAGGCAGAGATTTTGTGTCGGTGTTTTGTTAAGGATCCAACACAATGATGGATCGTTGAGATGCTTTTGGAACATCATTTTGTCGCCGATCAAGGGAAAGACACCGTTCCATTGAGAGAAGAAGAAAGTGAAGAATTATAGCATCACAAAGATGCCATTTTGATTTCCCAGATTGGGTTTCAATTCAATCACCATTATCGAGAAAAGGATGATGCCTTAAACTGCAGACCAAAGCAAAACAACCTTCCCCTCTCTTTCTTAAAGGCCATGAATAAAATATTATCCAAGCAACTTGATGTTTTGGCAAAAAATTTAAGCAACCAAAAACTTTGCTTTGGAGATTTATATAATCCAAACAAACACAAATTTAGGAATTCTTTTTCTTTATGTCTTCATCATCATCTCGATCTATTGTTCTTTCTTTTCATCATAATCTCTACCTATTGTTTTTTCTTTTGTTTATATAAACTATAAAGTAATCAACGAATTTAGGAAACTTCATCTAATTATATCTCACTTTCAAGTATTATTAATGTTGCGATTGATCGGATTACGTATATTGGGTCAACGTTAGATGAGGCGGAATTGAAGCGAGAGAAAGAGATTAAATTGATATTCATTTAAAAATTGTTAAGTTCATTTTTATATAGAGAAAAAAGTTAGAGAGAGATGAGAAAAGAATAAGAAGATATTAACATGTGATGATAAAACATTTATTTAACAAAATAATTTAAAAAAAATGACATGTCAAGTTACATAAATGAGATGGTTCCTATGTGGCATAGAGTACCTTGTTTTGATAAATAAGTTTAAAACTATCATATTATGATAAATAAGATTTAAAATTGTCTTATTATGAAAAAAACTCATAAAACAAACCCTTAAATAAAAGAAATAAACTTTTCATCATCTTCCTCCGTTGTTTCTCTCTCTCCGGGTGCTAGGACAACCTTCGTCTTCCTCCACTGTCTCTCTCTCCTTCCTCCATCTTCCTCCCTCGTCTCTCTCTCTTTGTGGGTGGCGGGAAAGACTTTGAATTGCTTTAAGCCCATTACTTGTTCACAACGAATCTATACTTTCAAGTGTACTTTCTTCCGTAATTTTCTTCTAAAGGAGAAAGAGAGAGGAGACGGGTTACCATCTCAAAATTGTGTGAATAATTTATTAAACAAATCGACTTGTGTCGCGAAGCTTTTTCTTCTACATTTTCCCTCCCCTCTTTCATTAGCTCCATCCCTTGTTCCTATCAAGAAGCACTAGGGAATGCATATGCAAAGCTATGGTTGTCTATTCATGGTGGCGGGGACACACACTAGGGAATTCAAAGCTTCACGAAAATACAATCCTAAGTCTATTTAACTAAGGAGAGGGAGACGAAGACGGGTCCCAAAATTGTGTGAATAATTTTAAAAACGAATTTGACTTGTGTCGTAGGAGCTTTTTCTTCTGCGTTTTCCTTCCCTCTCTCATTAGCTCCATCCCTCGTTCCTATCAAGAAGAAATTCGTGATTGTTTGGTTCCCATCCCTCATGAATAAATATTAAAAACCTACGCTCGTTTGCTTTGCTTTAATTTCAAAGTCCGAATTAGGTATTGCCACCGATTTACAAGGGATTTTTTGTTTACTTTTTAATTATCCTATTTCTCATTATGCTTTTTATGCAAGCATAATGAGAAATCTAAATATGGTACTCATCATATTCTTATACTTTCATTGACGAGTAGGAGACAAAAAATTAGAAGTCTAGTTTCAAAATTAAAAAAATATGGCAATTGCCTTGAATTTTTTATTTTATGTGACCATCGACGACGACGAGAGACAAGAAAAAGGATTGCAAATTGAAAATGGAAGATTCTTACAACGAAACTCAAGGTAGAGTTGACAAATATATTTTTAAATGGTTAAGTTTAGAATTATTTAATTTACATATTTGTTTTCTTCCTTATTTGTTTTTCTTATGTAGGCATATGCTCTAAAGTTAATGTTGATAATGTGATCATTGAGGAGAATGCTCTTTATGTCAATAGAAGTCATAATGAGTATGATAATTTGATGGGAAAGTATTCAACAACGAGAAAGAAGCGTATAATTTCTATAATGAGTATGCTATTAGAACGGGTTTTAGTGTTAGACATTCTAAGTTGAGATATAGCGAGTGGAAAGTCTCACGCAATTTGCCAAAAGGGAGTTTCGATGTTCCAAAGCTGGTAAAGTTGAAACGGATCCTCTCTCAACAAATCGGCGTAATAGATTTGAACCAAAAAGTGATTGTGGAGCAATGATCGGATTAACAATTAAAGATGGTTTGTGGGTTGTCACACACTTTGTCTCATTACATAATTATGAACTAGCTTTACCTTCGAAGCTCACCTATTGAGATCAAATAAAGCATTAACAACTCCAAAGGCTAATGTTATTAGCACGATGGTTAATGTCGGCATAAGAATGAAGGATGCTTTTGTTTATATGGCGAGAGAAGTTGGGGGTAGTGAGTACCTTGGGTTTATTGAACGAGATTGTTATAACTTTGTTGGTAAAGAAAAATAAGGTTGATTGAGCATGGTGATGCACAAAGCTTAATTAATCATTTTAAGAAGCAAAGTGAAGACTCGATGTTTTCTTATGATGTGCAAGTGGATCAAGAAAATAGAATGACAAATTTTTTTTGGAGGGATGGGAAGTCATTCATTGATTATGATTTTTTTGGTGATGTTGTTGTTTTTGACACAACGTATCGCACAAACAAATATGACTTGGTGTGTGCTCCATTTGTTAGTGTTAATCATCATTGGCAAAATATCATGTTTGGATGTGCATTTTTATTGGATGAAACTGAATCTTCTTTTACTTGGTTATTTAAGTCAATCTTGGATTCTATGGGAGGGAAAGCACTATCTGTCATTTTTACTGATCAAGACCAAGAATGGATAATGCGATTAAAACTATTTTTCCTAACACTTGTCATCGGTTTTGTTTATGGCACATTGTGACTAAAAATGCTCCAAGTCATCTTGGTGGTCTAAATTCAAATCCCGATTTTCAAAAGTTGTTTCATAAGTGCTTGAAAGGTTGGGAATCGAAGCCGAGTTTGAAGAAACTTAGGACAAAATGTTAGATGCCTTTGATCTTAGAGAGCACAAGTGGTTGAAACAATTATATGAGAAACGCAGAAACTGAAGCCTTTGTTTTGTCTAGTGATTTCTTTTCAGTTGGATTTCTATCATCGCAATGAAGTGAAAGCACTAACAATGTTTTGAAAAATATGGCAAACAAAACTACTTCACTCGGGGAATTTGTTAAATCATTTGAGGAAATTATTAAGGAATAACGTTCTTCGAGGTTGAAGAGGATTTTCATTGTAAGCAAAGTAGGCCTCCTCTAGCAATTAGAGGTAGTGGGATTTTAAACCATGTATCAAATGTTTATACTCACAAACTTTTCAAATTGTTTGAGGAGGAGTTCAAGAATGCCATAGGAAAATTTTGGTTTGAACTATCTTCGATGGTGGTGTTTATGAATTTGAGGTTGGAGGAATGGATGGCTCGAGGATCGGTCATGTAACGTTGGATACGTTCACTTGTGGAGATAAGTTATTCTTGTAAAAAATTTGAGTCTATGGGTTTGCTATGTTGTCATACATTGAAGATCTTGATCATTAAGAACTTTGACGAAATTCCAAATAAATATGTGTTAAGTAGATGGTGTAAAAATGCAAGAAATAGATGGTTGGAAGAGGGGACGCATAATGCTAGTGTGGATGATAAGAATGATGATTATGAGATAGTTTACCGAAATAACATGATGCGGAATGCTTATCGAAACGTAAAAGCAAGAGAGATTGTTCAAGAGGGACTAAAGAAGATTGATAAAGCTATTGAGAATGAATTGGCCAAATTGAGCATTTCTTTAGATGGTCAAGAAATGGAAAATGAAGTGGGTGATGGGCAAAATGTAAAAGAGACACTTGATGTTAATCCTATCTTGAACCCTCCTCGTGCAAAGACCAAAGGTGTCTCCGATGCAAGATTCAAAGGATACTTAGAAAAATCCAAGAAAAAGGCAAAGACAAAAGCAAAAGCAACAATCACGGAGTTTGTAAAATAAAAAATGTTATTTGTCACTTTTAGTGTGAATACCTTATAACTTACAGTTTCATTTTCATTATAGAGGTAAATAATAATATATCTAGATTATTATCCTTTTCAATTGTAGAGAAAAGAGAGGCAAAAATTCTTAATGCAAAGTTCCTATAAGGCAAAAAACAAATGATCAAGATGAGGTACTCCTTTAATCCATCATCATATTTTTTACATGAAGTTTTATGATATTTATAATTTATTATATATTCTTGTCTAGTCGGGATCCTCTCCAAGTATGAGCACACATAACATTCACAATTTTCAATATCACCTTGCAAGTTCGATGCAAATTCCATACCACCCAGTACCACCACATATGCATATGTTAAGTCAAGTTGGTACCCCTTTCCGGTATACACAATCTTCAAATTTTAATTATAATGCATTCATTTTTTATTTTATTTTTAGGCTAATTAAAACTATTATTTTTTTAGTATTGGAATATGGGAGGTTCAAATATGCCATTTATTATAATGTTACAAGGTGTTGAGTTAATAGTGCATTTGAGTTAAGTAAGTTATTATAGTTGTGTTTTAATAATAATTTTTTTTTCAAGTTCAACAATGCGTGAATCTATATATTTGTTTGCGGGGTTCATCTTTAAATACTCATCTTATAAATACAACTCGTAAATGTGAATAATTGATATGAAGAAAGCGGTATAAGTAGTTCATTGTAAATTGAGATACTTTTGTGGTGATGAATGGAAGAAACATTCAAGGTCATCATTTTCGTTGCTTATTCAGCTTTGTTTATAGCATATTGAGACCTTTTTTGTATGTTAGAGAGGACATCCTATTATTATTTATTATGAAATTGTTAAGTATATATCTTCATTTTGCAAATCATGGATTGAAGGTTGCATAAGTAATAGTATATGGTTGCAGCAATATCTATTCATTTAAACTTTTGGTGTTAACAATATGGGAGTATCAATTTTACAACAAAAAATAGAATGTCCTTGAAAATTAAACTCAAAACAATTAAGAAACTACGAATCTATCATGTTTTTCCTCAACGTTAAAATTCTGTCGAACAAAATTTGGAAAAAAACCCTCTTTTATATCATTCCTATGTACACAATCTAAAGTAGATAGTTGTAGCATCAAATGAGAAAAAGATGAATCTCTGATGTATCTGCCCAATATATTCATAGAGCTGGAATTGTTTATGTGTTGAGAATTGACCATTTAAGCTTTGTTAAATTGGAATTTGCCGATGCTAAATCACTTTTTTTTTAAAAAAAAAAAAGGTTTCAGCAGAAAACTAAAAGATTGGAACCATGTGCTAATTAATATAAAACAGAAATTACAACTTGAGTATTAGGCTATCAAGTCCATGTATTTTTCTAAATAAAACTTGCAGAAGAACACAAAACAAACTTGAAATTGTTAAAAATGGGTTTTTGAGTTTCATTGATGAACTGTGCCATTTGAGACAACATAGTAAAAATGAAACGTCATTAGCTTCTGTTTGTTGCCTTCATGGGCTAATCCGGGCTTTTGTATCCATTGATAATTTGATCCAATTAGCTAAGAGTGGGATCCATAGTCCTCCTTCCCAAGAATACAGATTCTCAGGAGAAGCAAAAATACTCGAGGATGGGATACTAAAGAGTTCTCTGGTGGAATTGAAATGCACGCTTAATCTTTTTATGAAATTTGTGGCATCAGAATGGCACTCTGTGCAGTCAATTGAGACTTTTGGTAGAGGAGGACCAACTCCAGGGGTAGGAATTGGTTGGGGTGCCTCTGGTGGAGGATTTTGGTCCATGACTGTTTTGTTGGCTCAAACAGATGCAAGATTGCTAATTGGCATGCTTGAAATTTTTCAGAAGTTGTCTCACACAGAAGCCCCAACTGATGAAGAAATGGAGTTCACTATGCACATGATCACTTCTCTGTTAGGAGTTTTCCTATCAATTGGACCAAGGGTTAAGGTTGTTATGGAGAAGGCCTTAGATATTTTGCTTGATATCCCTATTCTTAAGTATCTTGACTTCTATACACACAGATTTCTACAATCAAATGAGAGAGTGGATCTCTTTGGATGGGAATATAAAGAAGAGGACTATGTGTTCTTTAGTAACACATTGGCTTCTCACTTTAAGAATAGATGGTTGTCTGTGAAGAGGAAATCGAAAGCCACAACAGAGGACAATAGAACTTCTCAGAAGGGAAAATCATCCCTGGAAACCATACATGAGGATTTGGACATATCAGCTATGACAAGGCAAGATGATTACTTAACTTCTTTGGCAGCAGAGTGGGCTCACCAGAGACTGCCACTTCCCATGCATTGGTTTCTTAGTCCAGTTGCAACCATCTCCAATAACAAACAGGGTTGTCTTCAAAGTGTTTCTGATACATGGAATCTTACCAAGGACCCCCATGATACACTTGAAGTTGTTAAAGGTGGGCTTTTCTTTCTACTAGGGTTGGAAGCCATGTCCACTTTCCTGCCCACTGATTCCCCCTCTCCTGTTCGCTGTGTACCTCTAATTTGGAAGTTGCATTCTCTATCTGCCATACTACTTCTTGGAATGGGCGTGCTTGAGGATGACAAGAGTAGGGATGTTTATGAAGCCTTGCAAGACATCTATGGTCAGCTTCTTGATGAATCAAGATCTATTAGAAATGCTGAACATGTTTTGGAGGATAACATGAATGTACTGCCAGAAATTGGGAAGAAATCTACCTGGGAGTTTTTGAGGTTTCAATCAGAGATTCATGAGAGTTATTCTACATTTCTTGAAACTCTTGTGGAGCAGTTTGCTGCTATATCCTATGGTGATATACTTTTTGGCCGGCAAGTTGCTGTATATTTGCATCGTTGCACTGAAGCTCCTGCGAGACTTGCTGCCTGGAATGCACTGGCCAATGCCCATATTCTTGAAATTCTGCCACCTTTGGAGAAATGCTTTGCTGGGGCAGAAGGATACCTTGAACCTGCTCAGGTATACCTTACTGACTGTCAACTTCTTTTATTGACCATGAAACTCTTTTAGTTGAATTTAGTGCAAATCTGTAGTCTAGTTCAAGCTTGCATGAGTTTCATTTAATAAGAATGTTGCTCCTTTCTTTGGCTGCAACTGGTGAAAATTTTCAGGAAAAAAAGGAAGAACAAAAAGAGAGGAAAGGCATAATTTTTTGTGTTAGGTTATCTTGAGGTTTATAGGAGAATTAAGTACATTTTCTCTGTTATAATGTATCTAGGAAGAAATGATGAGATATTAACTAAATGCATGGTTGTATATTGGTTTTGCAAACGAGCAGGAGATCTTGATTTACTTTTATCTCAGGAATAGTGGTCTTTAGTTTGTCTCTGTCATGTTTTTGCTGGTCTCTCAAATTTTCACAATTTCAAATAAATTTTTGGTTGAATTTTAGTATCCTGAAGTAGATTCTGAGTTCAATCACAATACGCAGACACTTGTTTTTTAAGAAAGTTAGGTTCCTTTGCAGGATAATGAAGGCATTTTGGAAGCTTATGTCAAAGCATGGGTTTCTGGTTCTCTTGACAGAGCTGCAACTCGAGGATCAATGGCATATACCCTGGTTCTACATCACCTTTCATCTTTCATTTTCCTGATTCATGCTAGTGACAAGATAACGCTGCGAAATAAGCTTGCAAAGTCACTTTTGCGAGACTACTCCAAGAAGCAGAGACATGAGGTATGAAACTTTTCTGAAAGTTTAATTACCTATTGGTTCGGTTCTGATTGAATAATTAGATATCTTGAGGCTTAAAAATTAGCGACATATCATTCAAACGATTTCAATATCAATATAGCAGTCGAAATGTTCAGTGTTATTTGCAAGAGCTGATATTGTTGAGGTGTTCATAATCTTCCAGTAGCCAATTATTACTTGGTTCTTTGACTTAGTAGCAATCTGGAATGACAGTCTAGTGCTGCCTTTTCTGTATTTAGACAAAACCGGACTTGTTTTACGACGAAAATAATAAATTTCAAATGGTGAAAATGTTTTTGGTTTAGGAGCAAGCATTGATATGTTAACTGTATAATAACCATCCAGTTCTTTTTACAGGGAATGATGCTGGAATTGGTTCGGTACTACAAGCCATTGACATCTCACTTGCCTGAGAAGCAAGAAGGCTTGTCGCTACAGGTTAGGGATATTGAGATAAGGTTTGAAGTACTTGTGGAAGCTTGCGATAGAGATTCCTCTCTTTTGATTGAGGTGGAGAAATTAAATCCGCTTTTGTAAAGAAACAGTTTGATGATTGACTATGATGTGTGGATATACAAGAAGATATATCTATAGAAGATGAATAAAAAAAAAAAAAACAACAAAAACAAAAAGAGAAAGGGGCATGAAGGAATCTTCTCTGTGTAGTCCCAATGAGCACTAAGAAATTAGAAGGTTCTCAATCATGGATTCAAGACAAATTTTTTACTCGATCCGTTGTAAATTAAATGGGCTGTGGTGTAGATTTAAGTCTTATACTGATTATTGTATCTGATTATTTTGTCAAAGCACCGAGGGTGGCCCTTCTGCTGTGGAGGGAGTTTCTGGAAGGGCTCCCCTTTCAGGGTGAGGCTATTTTCAGTAATTGACTACCTATATCTCGCAGTCAACATCCCGTTACTTAAGAGGGCACCAGGTCAAAACTTTTCAGCACAGCCTATAAAGATTTTTCTCAAATGGAGATGATATTTGCATGCATCAACTACATTTCTATCCATCCACGTGGTTGTAGCCCTTAACATTTACTCCCCTCTTGGACATTACATGTGCTCTAAGGTCCACCAAAAATGGTTATTTTGTATATCACGTACGTCAGCTTAATAAGAATTAATCATAAATTAATAATAACTATCTATGATGAAACTCTATAAAAACATGTTCAAATATTTGATCAAGCAAAAACATATTGAATGAAATTTTTATAATACTTAATTTTTGTGGAGTTAGTAAGTAGCTTCTAATAATATGCAAAGCAACATGTTCAACATCTAATGCATGTAGTTTACTGAACCAAAAATATGACATGATTATGTCCAACTACTTGGGATTAGATCTTAATTTCTAAAAGTATATTTTACAGTAACTTACACCTTAAGCAGATCTTACTGAAAGTAACATTTTTTCTACTGTGATCCTGTCCTGTCAATATAATCTAAGCTTCAACTTGGTTTGTGCATCATCAAAAGAACCAAAGACCAGAAGAGATGGAGAGAGAGATGGGACTGGCCACAAAAACAGATTCAGAAATAAGAGAAGACGAAGAAGAGGCACAAGCTGAAGTTGAAATATGGAAATACATATTTGGATTTACTAATATGGCTGTAGTGAAGTGTGCCATTGAGCTTGGAATAGCTGATGCTATTGAAAACCATAAAGGCCCTATGACACTATCAGAGTTATCATCCTCACTTGGCTGTGCTCCTTCCTCTCTTTACAGGATTATGAGGTTCTTGGTTCATCACAACATTTTCAAAGAGAAAGCCTCTAGCCAAGGCACCACAGTTTATGTCCAGACAGCACTTTCTCGCCGATTACTTAAGAAGGGAGAAAAGAGCATGGCTGATTTTCTTTTGTTTGAGAGCAGCCATGTAATGCTGGCACCATGGCACAATCTAAGTTCCCGCGTCCTGACTGAAAATATTTCACCATTTCAGGGGGCTCATGGAGATGATTTATGGAAATATGCATCGGCCAATCCAGTTCACAGCAAGTTCATTGATGATGCAATGGCCTGTGATGCTAAGCTGGTAGTGCCAGCGATAGTTGAAGGTTGTCCAGAGGTGTTTGATGGGGTTAAATCTTTGGTGGATGTTGGTGGGGGTAATGGGACTGCTTTGCAGATGCTGGTTAAGGCTTTTCCTTGGATCCAGGGCATAAACTTTGATCTTCCCCATGTTGTTTCTTTTGCTCCAGAATCTGAGGGTATCAAGCATGTTGGTGGTGACTTTTTTGTGAGTGTTCCAAAGGCTGATGCTGCTTTCATCATGGTTAGTAAATTTTTTTTCTTTTCAAAATTGGTTAACTATCAAGAAAGAATCAATCAACATTTCCTTAGAAGGAAAAAAAAAAAACTTTTGTCCAATTTTTCAAGTGCCTTGTCCCTTTAATACTTCAGGGAAATAATATTATTCACCTGCTATACTTGCTAGCTTATTGGAACAAGTCCAAATGGTTAGATTTCCTCCTCCCACACCCCCATTTCCTACCAACTCTCTTTGCAGAAAAGCATTAGTTAAAACTAGAAGCAGAAGTTGGTCAACTGGCCTGAGAAATTCTCTGCTTCCAAATCTGAATTCAAAGCATATGTTCGATGATGTCTATCACTGATGCATAGGTACTTTACCTTTTCTTTTTGTGAGTTGCAGTGGGTTCTTCATGACTGGAATGATGAAGAGTGCATTCAAATCCTGAAAAACTGTAAAGAAGCTATACCGAGTGACAAAGGGAAGGTGATAATTGTTGAAGCTGTGGTTGGTGAAGAGAAAGGAGCCAAGCTTGAATTTGTGAGGCTAATGTTAGACATGGTCATGATGGCTCATACCAACGCAGGCAAAGAAAGGACCTCTAAGGAATGGGAATATGTTCTTAAGGAGGCTGGCTTTAGCAGCTACACTATAAAACCAATTCGTGCAGTGCAATCTGTCATTGTGGCTTCCCTTTGATTTCCACAGTAATTTAAGAATATAACTAGTTTGAAGTTAATTTGTATTTCAGTGCTGCTCAGTCTCGTTATGCTTTTACTTGTACCTTACCTTATATTGTAATAATGGCTACTGCATGCCAGGCTAATGGTTTCTATGTTCAAAACTGGTAACCTAAGTCTGTCTGTTCGATTTCTTCATCTGAGAAGATTCTGTATATCTAGAAGGATTCCCGATGTTGTAGCCTGTCATTCATATAGGTAGAATATGTTCACCCTTGTGATTACTGAATAAGAGCTGAACTTAAAATGGTGGCAACATCTTTGTGGCTGGGGCATTGGGCTACCATTTAATTATTGACAGGGTGTGTCCATTGCTAGTTGAAAGTTGAAACACTGTTTTTGTCGGCCATTCTACAATGGGAACTGATATGTCGCTTCTACCCTTTGCAAGGCAGCTTCCAGAAATTCTTGAAATGCCCTTTACCTATGGATTAGCACATGAATTATACTGCTGAATTTATTTTGCTTGGATTGTCTTACTGACATGATATCTGGACCAATGGACCAAACAACTGGAAAACCAATTACCTGTGGGTGGTGACAGGTTAGCCAGAGTGGGCCTACATCCTTAAAAGATTGGAGAGAATAAAGTGAGGAAAAGGATGTAGGGAAAAAGGACAATGACCCAAGTACGCATACCAATAATTAAACAAGACTAATCAATGACGTGAATCAAGCAGTCCATTTCATATGGAAAAAAAACCAAAACAACATGAAATTGGTAGCATAAGAGAATATAGTGTAGTTTAATCTGAAACAACTTTCAGAAACTATATGCCTATTCGATTCATATATTTGGGGCTTCGACCTAAAGTTTTTTTAAAGGATTTCATCGAAAAATTCAAAGAGAAAGATCTGCACAAACTAAAGAGAGATGGAGAGGACAGCAAGAGATTCAAAACTGAAAGAGGTAGATGTGCAACCAGAAGTTGAAATATGGAAATATGTATTTGGTTTACCGGAATGGATGTGGTTAAGTGTGCTATTGAACTTGGAATAGCTGAGGCCATTGAAAACCATGAGGGTCTTATGCCATTGAAATATGGAAATATGTTGTATGTTGGAGTATGTGAAGAAGTAAAGCAGGTTGGAGGAGACATGTTTCACAGTATTCTTGATGTGGACGTTGATAAGACCCAGATCAGGTGGGTTTATAACAGAAGGAAGAAGAAAGCAGCAGGAGAAATAACAAATTAAAGCACTGCGCTACAGAGTTCTTTGTTGGGCTTTGAATTATGAGAAAGGAGAATATTGTGTTGCTGGTTGGCTAATTCATCAGGTTCTAGAATATGCTGACGTGGTCAATTCTGTTTCTCTCACGTCTGTCATGCGTCTGTTATGCCTTTGGCATTTTCTTATTTTTCTTGTTCTTATATAGGGATTAGTGAGAGGGAGAGGGGAGGATTGGAGAGCATTCTGAGTTGTGGGAGGCCATTGGGTCAGGGAGTGTGGCAGTCACTCGAATACTGCTGATTTTGTTATCCACCATCATCAATAAAAAGTCCTCTCACCATCCCTCATTTTCACTGTTCCATTACTTTTCTTTGTTATTCTGTTCTAAAATTTCCACGTTCTTATCATTTGGTATCAGAGCAGTCCTGATCCTCGAGATTGCTTATGACCAAAACCAGAATGGAGCAACGAATGGAAAAAATCAAAGCAGAAATCCTTAAGCTTCCAGGTTTGGAGAAACAAATTGATGATATGAGGACGGAGCTGAATGGGTCAATCGTCGCCTTATTCCAAAAACTGAATGACACTATGGGTAAGGAGGTCAGTGCTGAAGGAAGTACCCTGGGAGAACTAAGCTTTACCAAGTCTGCAGCTGAGACGCCGGAATCTATTAAATCCGGAGCTGAGGTCATATTGGAGAAAATGGTGGAGAGAAAACGACAACCTCGAAAACTGGATTTGCCCACTTTTGGTGGGGAAGATCCGGATTCATAGATCGTCAGAGCTGAGCGTTACTTTTCTGTGAACAAGTTGAGTGAGGCCGAGAAGCTAGAGGCAGCGGGGGTGTGTTTTGAAGGAGAGGCTCAAGCTTGGTTACGGTTTGAGGAAAGGGAGAAGCCTTTTGTTTCTTAGGAAGAACTGAAAAATCAGATGCTGGTAAGATTCTTGGGCCCTGAGAGAAGGTCAATGTTACATCGTTTCTTTGCGATGAAACAAACAGGAACATTAGCGGAGTATCGTGCTCAGTTTGAAATGTTGGCAGCTGCAGCAGGGAAGATCGAGGAAGCCACAATGACGATAGTCGTCGTTAACGACTTGGAGGAGAAGATTAAGGCAGAGCTGTTCATGCTTAATCCTGTCGGGTTGAAGGAGACAATGGCGATGGCAGTAAGAATTGAGAATAAGAACCTAGTCCTATACCCTCAAACCAATCCCAAAAAGGCCCAAACAGAACCCAGCCTAATAACCACCAACTCAGACCACAAAACAATCTCATGGAGTTCAAACCGTTCTTATAACCCAACAACACCAAAACCTTATACTCAGAATACTATCCAAACCCATTCATTCCAGAAGATACAACCCAACCAAACTTTTATGGGGTCAAACACCAAAACAAACACCTCAACCTTTTCCACAAACTCACAGTTTAAGAGGATTCTAGATGCTGAGGTGCAGGCTAGGAGGGATAAGGGGTTATGCTATCGTTGTGATGAAAAATGATATGTTGGTCATCGATGTAAAAATCAAGAGCTACACGTTATACTCGTTGGAGATGAATTTGATGAAGAAGGGCCGGTCACTGAGGCAAGGGAGGAGGAGGTATCGGCATTGGAAGGAGTTGAGCTGTCTCTTAACTCTGTGGTTGGGCTGTCATCCCCATGGACCCTGAAGATGAAGGGGGTTGTGGAAGGAACGGAAATAGTGGTGCTGATTGACCCAGGTGCGACCCATAATTTTATTTCGCAGGTGTTGGTGGAGAAGTTGGGGCTACCCATTTCAGCAACTCCTAATTATGGTGTGGTAATTGGGAATGGAAGCCGATTGAAAGGGGAGGGAATTTGTAAGAAAGTAGTGCTACAATTGGGGACTCTAACAGTAGTAAATGATTATCTGCCCTTCTCAATGAGTAGTATCGACTTGATACTGGGCTTGAAGTGGCTAGCCACATTGGGGGTTACGGTAGCAGATTGGAGGAAGCCTTCTATGACTCTGACTATGAACGGGCAGCGAATCGAGTTGAGAGGGGATCCAAGTCTAAACCATGCTTTAGTGTCTTTCAAGGCTTTGGTCAAGACAATGCAACCTGAAGATGAGGGAGTGCTATTAGAACTTCAACATTTGACCGTAAGTGAAGAGAACGTACCAGACATTGGGGATACCGCTATTAGCGAGGTTTTAGATTAGTTCTAAGATTTTTTTTTATCACCCACTGGTCTACCTCTGGAGAGATCCTTTGATCACTCAATCCCTTTGAAGCAGGGTACTGAGCCAATCCGAGTTAGGCCCTACAGGTATCCTCACGTCCCAAAAAAAGAAATTGAGAAACTTGTTTTGGAGATGTTACTTGCAGGAATAATTCGGCTTAGTAACAGTCCTTTTTATAGTCTAGTCCTCCTCGTGAAGAAGAAAGACGAAAGTTGGAGATTCTGTATGGATTATCGAGCCTTTAACAAGGCCACCATTCCGGATAGGTTTCCAATCCCGAACATCGACGAGCTGTTGGATGAGTTACATGGGGCCATCGTGTTTTCCAAGCTCGATTTAAAATCGGGTTATCATCAGATCCGAGTTTAGCCTTCTGATATCCATAAAACCGCATTTAGAACGCATGAGGGTCACTACAAGTTCGTGGTCATGCCTTTCGAACTCACGAATGCTTCGGCAACATTCCAAGCGTTGATGGATGCCATCTTTAAATGAGTCATAAGGAGGTATGTACTGGTTTTGTTTGATGATATACTCATTTATAGCATTACGATGTTCGAGCATTTATCACATCTTCATGCGGTACTAAACATTTTCTGTGAGAACCAGTTTTTTATAAACTATAAGAAATATTGTTTTGGACAGCCCAAACTAGAATACCGTGGGCACTTGATTTCTGTTGCAGGGGTAGAGGCAGATCCGGATAAATTGAGAGTGATGGAAGAGTGGCCTATTCCTAAATCCCTGAAGGAGTTACGGGGGTTCTTAGGGATCACTGGTTACTACCGTAGATTCGTGAAGGACTACGGCAAGATTGCAGCACCCCTTACTCAGTTGCTGCACAAAGATTGCTTCCAGTGGACTGAGGAAACTACTGTGGTAGTGAACAAATTGAAGACAGCTATGAGGAGTGTCCCTATTTTAGCACTTCCTGATTTTTTCATCCCCTTTGTGTTGGAAACGGATGCCTCGGGTTATGGATTTGGGGCGGTTATGTCTCAGAATGGGAGGCCTGTCGCTTTCTTCAGCCAGGCCATTAAGCCTCTGGCACGTCATCATTCGGTCTATGAACGTGAATTGATGGCGATAGTGTTGGCCATACAGAAATGGTGCCATTATCTCCTTAGGCGGCATTTTATTGTTAGAACAAATCAAAGGAGTTTGAAGTTTTTATTGAAACAGCGTCAGGTGGTGTCGGAGCAGAGGATGCATTATCAAAGCTACCAGTGGGGGAGGAACTTCAGGCCATTTCTGTTCCCGTAATTTTAGATTAGAAAGAAATAGCAGAAACAGTCCAGAATGCTGCAGGCGATAAGTGCTCAACTAAAGGAGGATGGCGCCGCAAAGCCAGGATAGACTTTGGATCGTGAGGTTCTAAAATATAAAGGGAGGATAGCGTTGCCGCGTGCTATGAATTTGATTTCCACTGTGTTACGAGAATTTCATGCAAGCACACTCGGTGGCCACGGAGGTTTCTTGAAAACTTATAAGAATGTGGCTGGAGAATTCTTTTTGGAGGGGATGAAGGCAGATATAAAGAGCTTCGTGCAATCCTGCCAGGTTTGCCAACAGCAAAAGTATGATACTGTATCTCTCGTCGATCTGTTACAACCATTTCCTATACCGCAGCACACTTGAGAGGATTTGACCATAGACTTTGTTGAAGGGCTACCTAAGTCTCATGGATTTGATACTCTTTTAGTTGTGGTGGACAGGCTGAGTAAGTATGGTCATTTCATCCTATTGAAACATCCCTTCACAGCCCACCGAGTGGCAGAAGAATTCATTACTCATGTGGTTAAATTACATGGTTTTCCACAGTTAATTGTGTCAGACCGGGATATGATATTTATGAGCAATTTCTGACGTGAGCTATTTCGGTTGTAGCAAATGTTACTGAAGCGCAGCACTTCCTATCACCCCCAAACTGATGGATAAAGTGAAGTCGTGAACCGGTGTGTTGAAACAAACTTGCGTTGCTTTGTTGGCCAGCAGCCTAAAGAATGGTCGAAATGGATTTCGTGGGTGGAATTGTGGTACAACACGTCATTTCATATTTTCTTGCAGTGCTGCCCTTACAAGATTGTGTATGGGAAAGATCCACCCCCAATCATGCGGTATGATCAATCTTCTTCTATAACTAATTTTGACTTGGAGGTTATACTTCAAAAAAGGGATGCGATGTTGCATGAGCCGAAGGAACAGCTATGTAAGGCTCAGAATAGGATGAAACAGGTTGTTGACTAACACCGTCGCGAAGTTGAATTTTCTGTGGGGGAAATGGTTTTCTTGAAGCTGCAGCCTTATCGACAGAAGTCAGTAGCGAAGAGGCTCAATGACAAACTAGCTCCCTGATATTTTGGTCCTTTTGAGGTGATGGAACGCATCAGGAAGGTTGCTTACAAGCTCAAACTTCCCCCAAACTCGACAGTACATCCCATTTTCCATGCCTCCCAACTTAAGAAAATGCATGGGGACGTATCTACTTTCCAACCTATTCCAGTTGAGATTAATGACAAGGCAGAGTGGATCATTGAGCCGGAAGTGGTATTGGATACCAGGGAGATCCTACTGGCCAAGAATTTTTGATTCAGTGGAAGAACCTGCCCTCATTTGAGGCCACCTGGGAACCGAAGGCTTTGTTAACAGCACAGTTTCCAGATTTCTACCTTGAGGACAAGGCAGTTGTTCAAGGAAGGGGTAATGATAAGGCCCACATCAGGTGGGTCTATAGCAGAAGGAAGAAGAAAGCAGCAGGGGAAATAACAAATTAAAGCACTGGGCTACGGAGTTCTCTGTTAGGCTTTGAATTATGAGAAAGGAGAATATTGTGCTGCTGGTTGGCTAATTCGTCAGGTTCTAAAATATGCTGACGTGGTCAATTCTGTTTCTCTCACGTCTGTCATGCGTCTGTTATGCCTTTGGCATTTTCTTATTTTTCTTGTTCTTATATAGGGATTAGTGAGAGGGAGAGGGGAGGATTGGAGAACATTCTGAGTTATGGGAGGCCATTGGGTCAGGGAGTGTGTCAGTCACTCGAATACTGCTGATTTTGTTATCCGCCATCATCAATAAAAAGTCCTCTCACCATCCCTCATTTTCACTGTTCCATTACTTTTCTTTGTTATTCTATTCTGAAATTTCCAAGTTCTTATCAGACGTATTCATTGGGAGGAACTACAGCCGCAGAAACAAAGTGCCTACAGTAGAGGAATAGCTAGTGATTTTATTTCATGCAGTAGTTATCCTTCTAAGTTTAGTAAAAATAAAAAGACCAATAGGCAATCTGTTAAATGAGTCCTATTGTGATTGAATATCCTTAGAATCCTTATTTTTTTATGGAAACTATGCAAGCTATTAGCCTTAACAATTGTATTCCGTTTTTAACTATTCTGCTACTATATAAAGCCGGAGATCATAGAATATAGGATATCGATTTTTCAGCCAAAGAAAACCTAAGAGAGTTGGTGGATCTCTAAAACAAACCATCCTTTGTATCTATCACCATTGGTTCTTCAAGGAAGAATTGAAACTTGAACAAAGAAAAGCTAAACGACTTCCCCGTT